TAATGCGATTGAAATTTATTTATCCGTTAGAATCTAAATACGTAAATAGAAGAATTGTCGTTAATTTATAGAAAAGTTTACAGAATAGAACGTGTATTATTTAATTTCTTTCTGGATCTAGGATAGTCAAGTGTCTAAAGCCAGCATGTCTAAGACGTTCTAACTGTATACACTTGTGTTTATCGTACATTCGCAAATGGAATCGAGACTATTACAGATATCCGATAAAGCTGTGGCAATACTCGAAGCGGAGAGCTAAACTTCACTCCGGCCCACCGCCTTCAGCTCTATAAGGTGCAAGTCTGGCCGCACGGATGCCGTAGTAATTTAAAATAAATAAATAAAATAAAATAAAAAAGCCTTTTATTTCCTACTATTTACCTACTTTACATTGTTTGTTACTTATCTAATTTGATTACTTAATTAACTTCACTTAGCTAGTTTTTCTTTGATGGATTTTGCTTAAATTAATATAATAGTAGTAGTAATTTAAGCGGTCTAAAAGATGACTAAAATTACATCTATAACATCTACAGGGACTAATATCTTAAAAGATTTATAACATTCAATCGGTCAATAAAACCACTGACAGCGCGACCTTATCTCTGCACTTAGCTGATTGTCACGGGGACCACAGATTACATCACAGTATAGACAATCCTCTAATACACATATATGGTTATATAATACATGTGCGTTGTCGTAGAATTGAAGAAGTAACATTTAAGTCGAAGTGTCAGTCACAACTGATGAGTCAGCAATAAATTGTTTCAACTTTAAGTGGACAGAATCCGCTTCTTTGATATTAATTTATAATAACTTTGTATTGTGTATACGCTTTACAAGATTACAACTGATGTGTTACTAACGAAGGGCTCTCATGAAGTTACGTAACGTACTAACATAACTGCCTGTTTTCCAAAGATACTGATTACATTTTGAAGACAAGTTGTCAAGACGTGTGACTTCTTGAAATGACTTCTTTATGATCTGTATTAGACGTGAAGCGACTTTTCTTTCGATTTCCTGATATATCTAGCAGTGATACAGTGAAAGGGGACGGAAATGTGTAACAGGAACGATTTGATTTGGCGCCAGGTGCTAGAGTCGGCCGTCAGATGGTAATTGAGATGTATGGCTTGTTTTTTTATTGCAGGCTATATTATATACAAATTTGTGGGGTAGTCTGTTCGTTTTTTTTTGACATGTTTGATATTTGACATTCATGCTACCTGAACGCATAGCTACAAGTGTATATTCACACAACGTTCGTAACGAGTCTCGTTTTGATTTCGAAACTAGCGATAACTCTATCCTACATTTTATTGCTGCAGTAAAAACAAAATGAAAATATAAACTTGGCGACTTATGACATTTTACGATGGCAGCGCGTGAAGCCATTAAATTTAAAGTTATAAAACTATAATTTAGTATACCTTACGATGTGAAATGACTAAAAAAAAAATATTTTCATGAAATGAAAGTCACAATTTATTTTTTAACTTACCTAATGCATACTAAATATTTGAGTCTAACTCCCTGTAATTTTGTCAGGTTCAACATTTCGATCTAATTGCACCGGCTGTTACACGGATTAATTAATATTATGGTTTCCTAAATATTGTTTTTATCGTTGATCCAGTCACACTTAGTGTTATTTCTTTTGGTCAAACCACATTGCATTCTTATAAAGCCATATTGGTAAGACATAATACCTACATGTCAGAGGTTTCCATCTATCTCTTAAATACCGGAGCTGACTGGAACCATTAAGATTGTTGTGTTTTAATTAAAAAAGGCTAGTTTCTACGGTTTAAATGAACTATTTAAGTCTTCTATAAATTTAAAACTGATTGTCACATACGTATAAATACAAAACATATTTTTAAGCAATAAAATTACAATATGCAATGGACAATAAATTGACATTAAATTGACATTAGCGAGGTTTTCCGTCACAAATCGTTATCTCATTCAAGTTCCTGCAGAACATACCGTTTTGATTAATGTAACCAAAACTGTGATTTGAAAGTTCGTTGACATTAGTCTAGTCTGACATCAAGAAGTTGGCTAGAAGATGTTGGACGAGGGAAGCAAGGTATTGATCTCTGTGTAAATGCTTGGGGAGGTCTGTAAGCGCTCGGTCTGTAGAGCTAGACAACCGGGAAACCGGTGTCTAATATGAGAACAACTATTTTACTTCAGAAATGAACTTTAAAGTAGTACTAAGTAGTCATAAAATAAAGTGTAACTTGTAAGATTGTTAATAAATAAAGGTCAAAATAATGATTATAGTAAAAAAAAGGCTGCGCTGTTAATGAGGTCAGAAAGGACATAATAATAATCACACACATCTCACATATGGCCGTCTGATTCCAAATTAGGCAGAGCCTTAACTATGGTAACCAGATTGCTGGTATGGTATGGTAAGCATACTTAGATATTTTTAAATACGTTCATATAGTAGGTAAATTACACCCAGACACTTAACAAATGAGCACGATCATCACACAATTTTTGTCCTGGGTGGGAAATGAACCCACGACCTCCGGTTTAGCAGTCAGGGCTACTAACCACCAGACTAACAGACTTGTTAGTTTGGTTTAACCGAATATCTTGATAGATCAACAGATAGGTAGTCCTTAACAGTATTTAGGTAGGTATTTACCGGTAGTCAGCGTCATAACAATTATTGTTGAATAAGTGTTATTACCTCTCAGAGGAGGAAAACCTCACCTCGTAGCCTACAGGTGGGTAGTAGGTAAAACCCGCCGATTTGCATCTGATGAAAACAAACTTTAATATTTTATGTAGGATATAAAAAATGTATTACTTAGACACGGGTTCTATAGATAATAAGCAATTAGCAGTGCCCATGTAACAAAACCCAGTGACTTCACACTTAATCTATACAAATAAATAAAATTGAAGTGTCTGTTTGTAATATTAAAATAACCTGGTGGAAAATAGGTTGATGTTCCAGAGATTACCCGGAACAAACAAACAGACAGACAGACAGACAAAAATTGTAAAAAATGTTATTTTGGCATATGTACCGTGTAAACATACATATGCATTTAGTAAAAAGCGGTTATTTTAATATTACAAACAGACACTCCAATTTTATTTATTTGTATAGATGAGATTTTCCTGTTCAAAATGCCTTTAAAAAACGCTATTATTTCTCTTACTGCGGTCGAGATTCCCTTTAGCGTTGTTCATCTCAGTAAAACTATCGTCCATCAAAAACGAACAAAGCACTTTAAAAACAATTTAGAATAAAAGTGTAAAGATCTCACGTCGGAAGTACCTACGTTCCTACTATCGGAGTCAAGGTTAGTCCAGCAGTAGGTTTGCGCAACCGCGGTGCGCCCGCGCCGATTGCCCTGCACACTGCGGTGAAAGTTTATCTTGCACAATTGCAGATGTCGTAGCTTGTAAAATGAGCAATACCTATTAGCAGAATACATAGATTTGCCGAATCTGCCGAATATTTACACGAAAAAATTACGAAATTTGAACTGCAACAGTTTTTTATCTATTTTTCCATCCCGGTGGGATTTCCAAAAATGTGAAAGTGAGTTTGTTTGTTTGTATTTTACGCCTAAACCACTACAACGATTTTAAAAATTCTTAAAAGCTAAATTATCAGCGAGTAATATAGGCTACTTTTTTCCGCGATAACTGACATATTCGCGGTCGGAGCTGCGACCAAAAGTTAGTCTAACATATATAATTCTCGTGTCACGGTGTGCGTGGTTGAACTCCTCCGAAACGGCTCGACCGATTTTCGGGAAATTTTATGTGCACATCGGGTAGGTCTGAGAATCGGCCAACATCTATTCTTCATACCCCTAAATGACAAGGGTGACCTATCCCTAAATTTTTTTTTTTTTTAATTTAGTAGAGATAATGTATATGGCAAAACAACGTTTGCCGGGTCAGCTAGTTTTAATATAAATGTGTAGAGAGCAAGCATAATTATATGAAATGTTGATGTTCAGACGCCCCGTGTCGTCGAATCATTAATTACAATATAATCGTCACATGTTTTTATAACATAACATTTACTCACTTTATTTATATGACATTCTAAGGAAACTTTTTGTACCTGTTGTTTTTAAACATTATAAAGGCAGGGTTGCCAATCTTATTTCAACCGGTTTCAAAAAAGGAATAGGTTCTCAACTCGATTGGATTTTTTTATGTGTGTTACCTCAGAACTTCGTAATTTATAAACGATTTGGATTTTTTGATTTGGGATATTTCAAGTTTGGTTTTCCTCTTTCATCGAGTAGACTCGTCGTAGTACCCTTTTTTTTCTGTGCGGAAATCTTATCGGATACCACCGCACGCCGTCTAGGGTACCAGTAGCCGGGAACCAGGTGAACCTTAGAAAGGAATCCCTGGTAACCCGACGTACCTCGGGCCATCTACGGCGGGTAGACGACCCCTGTCCTCTCGTCCTGAAATTGCAAGAATCTTACTATCAAGCAGGCTGTATGCTTGTATGCTTCCAATGTAGTTATAAATTATTATTTTTTAGTACATACTAAAACAAAAAACACTAAACACATAAAACACACAAACACTAAAACATAAACATCAAACACACACATGTCTAAACACTAGTACATACTAGTGTTTGACATATATGAATTTGGAAAGTACGACAAAAATCTAGTTGACAACCCTGGTGACCGGTATTAAACGCTAACCGGTATTTAATTATTACAATGATAAAACTAACCTTACTACACGTAATTAGAGTCAAAATTCGTTTCGTTATCAGCGACAATAATTAGTATTCAGCGAGTAACGTACGGCAATTTGTTAGCCGCTGTTATTTTTTTTTTTTTGTTTTAAACATTCAACTGTTCGATTATTGAAACGGTTTTGAGAAAAGTGAAATTGTCGGTGTTCATCCTCGAAAGATTACAAATTGAACTGGATTTTCTAGTGAGGCGAAGGCTGGTTGTTTGGTATAAACAGATTAGAGTATGCTGTTAGCATATGCAGAAATATACGAACTTTTTTACCGAATGTGAGTTTGTTTGTTTAGTTTACACGTCGTAATTACTAAACCGATGTTCATGAGTTTTTGCAAGCATTTTCTCAGGAGAATAGACAAGTACGTGAAATATCTCTTATTTCCAAAACTGTAGTTGCCAAAGGGTGGAAAATAACTTTTCGCAAGTACTAGTTTTACAAAAAAAAACCGTTTAAAAGCCATTATAACATGTTATTTCGCAAAAAAATCTAAAGGCCATCATATATTTTTAACCTAAGTTTTTGATGCCTCTGTGTCTTAAGACACACTATTTACAAACAGGTCTAAACAATAGATCTATATATTACTAGCTGACCCGGCAAACGTTGTATTGCAAAACAAAAAAAAATTAGGGATGGGTCACCCTTACCATTTAGGGGTATGAAAAATAGATGTTGGCCGATTCTCAGACCTACCCGATGTGCACACAAAATTTCATGAGAATCGGTCAAGCCGTTTCGGAGGAGTACGGGAACGAACATTGTGTCACGAGAATTTTATATATAAGATATTGTATAATATTCTATATATTATTTTGTATAATATAGAGACTGCACGGATGGCGTAGTGGTTTACGGTCGCCACGCCGCTTACGAGTACTACTACGCCGAGTGTTGTGGGTCCGATCCCCACATGGGACGACACTTTGTGTGACACAAATTGTTGTTTTGAGTCTGGGTGTTCTTTGTGTCCGTTTCATGTATATTTGTAAAGTCCCCCGCGACACAGGATATATTCCTAATGCGGGAGTTGTCTTTTAGAAAAATATATAGGCAAGGTATTATTGCCACTGCCAACACTGCCATGTGCTCTACACTATACACCATTCACAGTAGGTAAGGAGTTCACAGCAAATACCCAGACAAGGTGATAATACGATAACTTTGAACAAACAAATGACTAATATAACAATTCATTTACATCCAAAATAATTTTCCATTCATACAAAGTCATGCTTATTGTCGGTTTTCCTCATATTTTCACACAATACTTGTTTAGCTAACATTTTCTAATAGTAATTAAGGAAAACTGTGTATTAAAATCACTAATATACAAAAATATGTACATACAAATGTAACCATTCGCTAATGTCTAGCGAGATTTTTCGTATTACATGATAAGCTTGTGGTAGGTATGTGTTGCAATTTTATCATTTTTGGGATATTTTTAAACTGCAAGGTGTGAAACAAGCATATTATTAAATTAAAATATATTTTTTTCTTAAATATAAAATTCTCGTGTCACAATGTTAGGTACCATACTCCTCCGAAACGGCTGGACCGATTTTTATTAAATGTTGTGTGTCCATCGGGTAGGTCTGAGAATCAGCCAACATCTATTTTTCCCCCTAAATGACAAGGGACCCCTAAATTTTTTTTTTCAGTATTTTCTAGAAATAATGTATATGGCAAAACAACGTTTGCAGGGTCAGCTAGTTTATTTATATAAAGCCAGTCTGTAATATCATATTACAAACTGGCTTTTCTATACGTATATATTGCACATTGCCAAGCGTTATCTCACTGAGAAAAACAAATGTGCACTTCACAAACATATACCGAAATACACTTTCCGTCACATCACATCATTTATTAATAAACACACTATCATACTCGTATATACACACGCAAACACTTACACATATACAGATAAAATTCAGGTGCACCATTAAGTGATGCAGAGAGAAAGTAGCGAAAGAAATAGAAGGTGTAAGGTCTGACTCTGGTCTGACGGTCTCACTCTGTCTGAGATTCTCCTTTATCAATTAGGTACACTTGATCTAAACCTAATGTAGTCAGGAAGAAGACAAGTCTATTGTCGACGGGAGGGGGATAAACCTACCTATTGCTGTTCGGGCACTTGAGGAGATAAGGAAAGGGAGACATTAAGGGATAAAGGGAAATTGCTAAAACAGATGGAATAGCCCCGAGACCTCTGACCAAAATATCGAAACGTTCAAGTTAAAGTGATACCTTACTGACATCTTTCAGGAAACAAAACACTTCCTCTATATTTCTCTGGAACGTGTTTTTTTTTAAAGGTCTACTAGCAACCGAAATTACTAGTATTCCCGTTAACCCCTCAAGCTAAACTAAATTGCTTGTGTTAGGAGTGAGTTCACGTCGGTAGTGTACTGGTCAGGATTTGAACCCACGACCAACGCAATCGCAAGTCCAACGCCTTAACCATTAGGCTACCTATTTATTAATGGTGAACTTTGTATTCCAGACATACAAGAGGAGTCATGGAGCACGTGCACGACCACGCAGGCATGGACCACGGGAGCATGGACCACGGAAGTATGGACCACGGGAGTATGGACCACGGAAGTATGGATCATGGGATGTGCGGACATGATGGCCACAGCCACGCCATGGCGGTTAGTGTCTAAACTATATCTTGGAAAAAAATATACACAACATAAGCTGTATATCGTGAAATGTTGTCCCTTGAAGAAGTATGTCTACTAAAAATGTCTTAAAGGATAAACGAAAATGTATATTTTAGAGATCTCTGACTAGTTTTTGAGTGAATGACAAACGCTGTGCTGACACAGAAGCTAGGAAGGTTGTTACGCCATTGAAAATTACCCCCGACCGCATTAAATAAAAAGAAAAGTCATAAAATTTTCATTAGGACCATCATTTCAAATTATTTTGAGTTATTTTTTGCATAAATTATCTCTATTTTTAACCGACTTCAAACACACTCAAAAGAGGAGGTTATCAATTCGGCTGTATTCTTTTTTGTATGTTTATTACGTATATTGTATAACATACTCGTATCTGCATATCTCCGTCAATTGTGGACCGTTTTTTGTAATCGTAAGGGTATACTGCCGTGGTGGTCCCATTAGCATCCCTGATTAGAATTATATTGAACTCCTACTTATTTATTGTGCTGATATAAATCTGACATAGACCAGTATTACTTATTGTGCATCGGGGGTGGCACCGACTTCAAAGAGACTAGAAGGGACTATTGCTATTATAATGTTACCTGTTATATTGAGGTTCAGACTTATTTTAGTTTTTAACCGACTTCCAAAATTTGCCGGTGTTCAAAATTTTTTTGACCGAGTGAGTGAGGTTGCCGGTCCCAAACACCTTCTCCCCCTTTTTTCTTTTTTTTTTTTTTTTTCCGTGCGTAAATCCCCTCGGATACCACCTGTCGGTGGCATGTCGGACTCGAACCGACTAAAACCGCACGCCTTCGTCGGGTACTAATAGCCGGGGAACCAGGTATACCCTAGAAAGGAAGTCCCTGGTGCCCCGAAATACCTCGGGTCATCTACAGACGAGTAGACGACCCCCCCCCCCCCCCCTCCACCTGTCACCCCCAGGCCTGCGCTTATGGAGGACGGAGGTCGTTCTGCGACCTCCGGCGCCTGAGTCGCCTGCGCTGCCTGGCCCGTGCCCGGGCCTGGCGGGCCGGGAGAGTTCTAAACCTCTCCCGGTCCCGCTCCGCCGTCTCCTTCGCGAGCATAACTTGCTCGCAGAATGAGACGGCAGAGTTCCACGCACTCTCGCTCCGCACGATAGCCGCAATCAGGCTATCGAGCGAGAGAACTCCCACTCCGATGGCCGCCACGAGGTCTCGCCTCTGCTCAACCCACGCCGGGCACTCTGCCAGCGTGTGGAGAGCCGTGTCCACGGTCTGGCCATCGCAGTGGTGGCACTCAGGCGTTGGCTCCTTGCGGATCAGACACAGGTGATCTCCGAAACATCCCTTCCAAGTGATCACCTGCGTCAATCGGTATGAGAGGGTCCCGTGACGCCTCTCGAGCCAATCCTCCATAACGGGTCTTACCGCCGCGATGACGGCGTGCCCGACACCTTCTCCCCCTATTTCTCTTGAGTTGCAGGTGACTATGGTTAGGGGTAGTCACTTACCATCAGGTGATCCGTCTGTTCGTTAATAATATAATCGAATAAAATCGAAAAAAAAAAAATACTTTATTGTAACAACATTGTGAGGGTGTGTGCATGGTATGGTATGGTATCAAAAATGATTACTAAATTATTAAAAAAAAAATTAGAAAAAGACATCTTCCGCACTAGGAATATATCCTGTGTCGCGGGGGACTTTACAAACATACATGAAACAGATACAATGAACACCCAGCCTCAGAACGACAATTTGTGGATCACACACTCAGTGTAGTAAGAAGTGGCGTGGCGCTACTACTACGCCATCCGTGCAGTATTACAACGTTCCACAATCAGCAAAACTATTTTTAAAGTCTGACTGATTCATTATTAACGCAGAGCCTAAACCGTTTCGGCTACAAACTTGATATTTTTGCAGGTCATGTTTTTTTATGTTGTATGCATCCACTAAGAAGGGATCTTTACCAATGAGGTTGGGGGTAAAATTAGGGATGAATGGTTGTATGGAAGTTCTTCATTTTCAAAGTGAAAAAATAATAATCTCAAAAGCTTCGTACAAGAGACAGTTCTTAATATTAAACATAGTTATAATAGGTCAAAACCTCCTTTCTAAGTAGAGGCCTACGTGCAGCAGTGTACTACTAAAGTATTGATGATGATGATTCATTTTATACATATTTAAAAATGCGAGAAACTGTTTGGATTCTCGGGTCAGTCTTCATTGTAACCTCGACAAGGTAAACTATTATCAGAACAAAGATGTCAGATAAATACCAAACCGAGTAGTTATCAACACTTAGTTTTCAACACGATATCGGCAGCACAGGCTGTTATCGGCCGCGGTCTGCGGTCGAGGCTCTTTCCCATAGATAATAAATTATGTATTTACTTATTTTTGTAAACATAGATATAAATATGTATGAAATGTTAGATTGGTACTTAGAGCGGAAACCGTTTGAGGTCTGTCGAAATTTACATGTTCTATGGTGTTTTAAATACCTATTAAAGAATATAATTTACGATGCGTATTTTTACTATGATGCATGTCTTTTAATAGTACACCGGTACACGTAAAGTAATTGTGGTAGGTTAGTACCAACAGTTTATACGTACAACAGACACACCCTACGTAGGCTCTTACGTACGGCTCCGCATATAATTTAATTCCAAATTGCACTCAAAATTGATGTGCTTTCTGTGTAATGTCATCGTCCGTATCATGACCATCACCATATTCCTGCTGCTTGACCATTTCCATGCAAACAATTAATTCAAGGGGTCAACGTAATTTGTAAAGCCGCAACCAGATATGAGGGGAATCGCCGAATACCGATCTATCGCCGAGAGACGAATACTCGTCATTGTAGTGAGCATGTAAACCGAGTGTGACTTGTAAAAATATCTGAGATTTACTTGCAGAAATAAATATAATTTCGTTTCATTCATTTTTGGGAAGATTCGTGTTCGTTTTCTTTGAAGCGGACAAACTTACCGACAGATATTGCAAAGGGTTTTGTCTAGTTTCTTTTAACAGGTGATTCAACCTTATACAAAAAAACGCCGTGAGGGGTCTATGAACCCCGGTCGGAATGAAGTTTGCTATGTGTAGATGTGATCGTCGACGCGCCAACTGAAGTGTCGATAAAAAGTCTTGTTACACATTTTTCAGTCTCGCTCCAATTGCTGTCCAGTTGTTTGATGAAGGCGTGTAGAGTGGCGTGTAGTGGAGGTTTTTGCTGATATCTCATCAGAGATCTGTAGGAAAGGTGACAGCAATACTGACGTAATGAACAATACCGGACTTGTGTTTATTGACACCTGTAGGTACATGCTCGTGGTCGCGTGCGGCCATTGCTGTTTCCCAACCTTGTTGTATTATAATATAAACAATATTCTTAAATAAAATTATTTATTTAACAATAACGTTCCTAATGAGCTTAAAATATGATGTACCTACGTGAACTTTTCATCCCCAATTCAGTTATTGTTAAAAAAGTTTTTTTTGACATATAAACCACCAGCAAATAAAAACACATTCACTTTCTTCGAGAACTGTGAACACATTGACATGTGTGCAATTCTCTAAGAAAGTATATGTAACCTTTGCAGGATTGCTTTTACTTATTCCTTCTCTTTTTAAAAATGATACAGTCATAATTCAGGTTTACTTAGTTAGATAAACTGTATTGGGATTGTCATTACTTCTTAAAATAAAAATAAAATCTTCATATTATATTTTATTAACCTTCAAAAACTTTAATAACTTGGAAAGGCCTTTTTTGCAATAAAGTGAAGTTTTCTCACGGTGTGAGTGGGCACGTCACATAATGCGTTCAACATCATGTAACATATTACGAGACACGAACGCATGCGCAGTCGCAGCCGCCGCCAGGTGACAGAACAATGCGCAGGAAGCGACGCGCGGTACATTACAATCGTACTAACAAACTCGGTATGACACACAGACACGAATTTAGACAAATTTTAGTTTAAAAACGTGAAGGAACGCAGTCTGATTTGAGGACAATTTCTTACAAGAAACTAGGTATTGACTGTGGTTTCGCTCGTCTTGATTTTTTAGCATATAAAAGGAGGCAAACGAACAGACGGGTCACCTGATCGTAAATAACTTTTTAACGTGTGGAAGCCCTCTCGGGCCGTCACCCCACCGGGGCTTGCGGCGGGGCTGTGTGTGTGAATCGAACCGGCCAAAACCACACGGTGTGCCCCTGAACAGCTGATATTAAGACATCCGGATGATCGTACCCATAGAGTCTCGATCTGGTAATAGGAGGAAGGGGAGTTTTGGGCTCCCGTAATCTCATTTAATCAATGAAAAGAACTAAAATAATAATAACATCACACATCTCACACACGGTCGTCTGATCTCAAACTAGGCAGAGCCTGTACTATGGTAGCCAGACTGCTGAAAAACATACCTTCTTATATATTTACAAATACATATATATTATAGATAAATACAACCACACACAGAACAAATGCTCGTGCTCATCACACAAATATTTTTCTTGGGTGGGAATCGAACCCACGACCTCTGGCTTAGCAGTCAGGGTCACTAACCACTAGACCAACAGGAACGTTGCTTAACACCGGCCTTCTGCTGACGCGACGCATGGCTCGCCCATGATAAAAGGCCCTTCTAAATATTAGAAAGAAAGAAAAATCGTTTATTTTGGCAATAATACAACAGTTTGAACAATTGCAACTTGGATTACCAACGATGCCAAAAACGGACCCAATTCAGCCTTATGTCAGATGGAAGCCTAACGCTGGTTTTCAATTGGGCCCTAAATGATGCTATGCGTAAACCCTGTTGCAAATCATTAATAACACATGTAGTACACATTGTATACATACATCACAATATTAATAACATATATACAAATAAATAAAATTGGAGTGTCTGTTTGTAATATTAAAATAACCGCTTTTTACTAAATGCATATGTATGTTTACACGGTACATATGCCAAAATAACATTTTTGTCTGTCTGTCTGTTTGATTGTTCCGGGTAATCTCTGGAACGGCGGGACCGATTTCAACGGGACTTTCACTGGCAGATAGCTGATGACATAAGGAGTAACTTATACTACTTTTTTTAGACTAGCTTCGCCCCGCGGCGTTGCCCGCGGTTATAACAACAAACGCGGGTAACACCGCGGGTCTCAGCTAGTATAACCCTAAAGCGTGCACGCCCCTCATCCCTGACTCTGACAGCGCTCACGTTAAATCAGGGAAGTGTTTACACATTAAACACAGAAACAATAAACTCCCCGCTTTATCATACGAGTATCACGATTGGTAACAGATTTGAATTGTACATCCATACTTATTACTTAACATTATAAATGCGATCGTGTGTCTGTCTGTCTGTCTGTCTGTATGTTACCGATTTAGATGAAATTTGGTATAGAGATAGTCCGAGTCCCGGGAAAATGACATAGGGCATTCATAGGCGGTCTACAAAGTAATATTTGATGGGTTCACTTACATTCTCATAATATTCATCAACATTTTATAAAAAAAGAAACTCTTACCGTGCTCATTTCTCTGTATTCTTCAATATCAAGACAAAAACCGTTACAAATGATGCGTTAACGCCTGAAAGAATGTGCATTATTTTGTCACTAATTAACTGTCTATTCGAACAAAAGATGACACGAAACTGACCAGCTTATTTCACCGTTCACTATTCACTTGGAAATAAAAGAAGAAATACAATAAAGAAACTAAACGCTAAGCTGAGTCGGAAACGTTACTCTGCTATAGAAACATACCTGACAATGATTTAAAAGATAGGTATACAATCAGTATGGTATTCAGTGAAATTCTTTGGAAAGGACGTAACATACATTTCACTTCCGGCTCGAAGGACCAAATGTACGGGTGCAGACGGGCAAGCGTGGTACACCAATCACGTATAACTCCGAGTGTAACCAAATACTCGTACGTGTAACTCCGAAAGCCTATCTAAAATACAACCTAAGTACGTGTATCGAGCGGGCACCGTAATGAACCGAACAATACTCGTACGTAACCTACGCCTAAGTACCTAAATCCCTAGATTCCCTAGCCCTATCAATATGTTACCTTGCTGTGAGGATATATACATATATAGATAGTGCGGGAAGTCTGTTACCTGGAGACCTAGGGTAACAGACGGAGACGTGAAGGGAGCGGGGTTTAGGAGATGATTTTCTTACTGCCGGTCGAGCAGACTCACAAGACCGATCTACTGACGGCTAAAGGTGTCTTGGCCGCAGTGAGAGGTGGGACAGGGTAATGAGTCAAGTCGGATTAGACAACATAATAATACATCTTATATACTAAACTTACTCTAAGTACACATGGATGGCTTTTTGCTTGTGTGCCATCCGTGTGTTGTGTTGATGCAGCTGCCTTAATCTCGGTCATGCCGAAATGTTGACAGTGCATCGACTTTACGCCGCACCGCGTGTGACATAGATGCTGTTGCTGGGTGATGCAATTTTGTTCATCATTGAACATACATCAACAGCCTTTAATAGTCCACTGCTGGACATAGGCCTCTCCTTGGAAAAGAGGTTTAATTAATAATAATAAAATAATAATAATAATAATAAAAATTCTTTATTTAAAACTAAAAACACAGATTACAATATTTCAAATGTGTTTGATAATGACTGCATTAGTGAAACACTGTGGCGCAGTCACTAACGCCCACCTTTGGATCTGATGCAAAAGTTCCATTTTATTCTACCACATTACAACTCTAAAAACTAAGCATGTGGAGTAAAACGTTGAGGATTTGAAAGTGTATGTGTGTTGTGTGTGTGTGTGTGCACGTGTGTGTGTGTGTGTCTGTGCGAGCGTGTGTGTGTGTGTGAGAAGAGAGCGTATGTATGTGTATCTGTTTGAGCGTGCCTGCGTGTGGGAAACAATTAAATAAATATAAGATACAAATTTTACCTACTCGAATAAGACTGGCTTCTACCGGCATTCTTCTGAAAAGAGTTTAAATGGGCTTATGTTGATACATCATTTGCTCAGTGTGTCATAACATACATATTTTACTAAAACCCAACACAAGAAACGGTTTTTATAAGTTTAACATCACATCTGTGAGTGTATCTATAGCATTAAATGGGTAGACTAATTTCCATTAAGTATTTTAAGCAAGCTGAAATGGCAGTGGGCTGGCCATGTTAACCGCAGAACCGACAACCGTTGGGGAAAACGAGTTCTTGAGTGGAGACCGCGTCTCGGCAAACGTAGTGTAGGTCACCCACAGGCCAGGTGGAGTGGCGATTAGCGCAAGATGGCTGGCAGGAGCTGGATGCGAGAAGCCCAAAATCGATCTAAGTGGCGTGCAATGGGAGAGGCCTATAGGTCCAGCAGTGGACTGCGATAGGCTGATGATGATGATGATTTTGTTCGAAAGGTGACTCGATCGCTGGTATGCGCTAGTAATAGCCGGAAAAAAAGCAACGACCGCGTGTGCCTGGATGTCGTCTAGTAGTAGTAGTAGTGCCCACGCTTTTGCGGGCAGGCGCTAGGAGGAGTCCGTCTAAGAAAATCTTTTCAGCTGTTCACTGATTAGTGATCGACAACATTCCCTTCGACGATTGCTCAAGGGGAAGTGAGTAAAATTACCTATTTTCAATGTCTTGTAGTATTACTTCATGACCTAAAACACTGAACAGCTCTTCACTGCATACTTTTTGTACAAACAAAAACAAATCAACAATTTTGAATTGCAGTTCCATTCATCAGTCTGTCAAGAGATCCTCTTCAGCGGCTGGTTGACTACAAATGCTCTGGAACTGTTCGGGTCTGCGGTCGCCATCTTCTTCGCTGGTGTTCTATATGAAGGTCTGAAGTACTTCAGGGAGGCACTTCACGCTCGGGCCTCGACGGTTACTGGTGACTCCAGGGTCAATATCACAAAGAGCGAGTGTGGGAACAATGGACCTTGCAGTGGACCAGCTGTTGTTAAGTAAGTCACAAGACTTGTAGACTAAATTGGTAGACTGCACGGATGGCGTAGTGGTTTAAGCGGTCGCCACGCCGCTTCCTATTACGCCGAGTGTTGTGGGTTCAAACCCCACATGGGACAACAGTTTGTGTGATCCACAAATTGTTGTTCTGAGTCTGGGTGTACTTTGTGTCCGTTTCATGTATGTTTGTAAAGTCCCCCGCGACACAGGATTTATTCCTAGTGCGGGAGTTGTCTTTTTAAAAAAAAGAAAAAAAAATGATTATTGTTATTTGAGAGTTAAGATTTTACTTTTCTATTCATTAAAATGTTGTGCATTAATCTTAATATAATAGATGTATGCTTTAGATTTTAGTACATAATGTAACAACTACTGGCTGTCCAATAAATAAATAAATTATTCCATAAATATAAGAAAAGGGTACTTATAATAATGTTGACTGTAAAAAGGGTTTTTTTATACGTTACAATTACGTGTAACTGGATTATGGTATAGATGCATGATTTATTTAAATAAATAGTTAACCTTAAACATAGATTAAGACTTACCGAGTCTCTTGCGTAGTTTGCTCCCTTAAGGTAGCATTCGGTTTCTACCGACCGCGACGGTCCGGGAGGGGGTCATCTATCAGGCTATTAGGGCTTTCCTTTCTAGGGTATACCTGGTTCCCCGGACATAATCCTTCTGGTAAGTTGTATCCAAAGAGGAGTTCCGCATATTAAAAAAAAAGAGTTGGCCGTCAAGTGGTAGGTGAGATGACAGATGTTACAGTTCATACTTGACTACTGTAAGTCGCTCGTTTTTCAAATTCAATACAAGGAGCTTTGCAATACATGGAGGCCACGCACTGTAAAAAAAAGCTTTTGAATACTCTATTAAAATTAACGATCAATAGGTAACAGGTATTCACCAAGTACCAAGTAGGTATTAGGCCTGTTATCGTTAATGCTTGGTACTTGATAAGTTCTCCGTCACATAACTTAAGTCAAAGCTATGTGTACCTTCTAATATCGTACTAATAATAAATCAATCATTTTTTAAATCATTCATTTTTTTAAATTCCAGATATACAATGATGTCATCAGGTCACGTGATACAAACATTCCTCCACTTCATCCAGTCGACTACTTCCTATATCCTCATGTTGGTGTTCATGACCTACAACGTGTGGCTTTGCCTAGCACTTGTCCTTGGTCTAGCGGTCGGCTATTTCTTCTTTGGCTGGCGGAAGAACAACGTTGTGGACGTCAATGAACATTGTCAGTGAAAGGAGAATTGTAAGGAGTGGCTATAGACTAGATAGAACTCGCCGGTAATGACTGTGGACTTAGAAACGGACATAGACAACTCTATGTTAACAAACCATAGAGAATAATTTGGCAGCTTTAGAACGATATACATATATTGTGAGCCGTCCATTAACATCATATATTCTCTATTTAATATATCACAAATTTATGAAGAAATATGTTAAATTTTATGGGAAACCTCCACGTATTTAATCAGCATGAGGTGCATTTACCTTTGAGTATGTATAGGCATCAATATATAAACTATAATAAAATTGCTTCCATTTTCTCGTAATACTTGAAATATTGTCATAAATTTGCCCAACGCGGTGATCTGTAGATAATTTATCTAATATTGACTTTTACATTTAGCATTGTTCAAAAATTATAACTTTATATTATCTCGTTCTCAAGAAATAGAGGCCAATACATTATTTTCCACCACAGACATTCCCGCCGAAAGGGCGACGCCATTTTAGATTTGAATTGACATTATAAATAAGTATCGACAACGCCATTTCCGTAAATTAATATGACTTTAATAATAAAACAAGCAATTCGTTATAACAGGGAGTTTCTCTGTTAATTCTATTATTATTTTAAGCTTAAATGTGTAGTGATGGCAGTATCAAACCAATTAATTTTCTACTGTTTTGTACCTACACAACCAAGAATTGTACATGTCACGTTTCAGAATGTTACGTTAATTTGCCCGACACGTGAAAATAGAATTTTAAGTAGCACTAGGCACTTTTTCTCAATTATTTTCAGCGGTTTTTTGTAAGTACTATTAAATTACTTTGTAATAATTATTTATTTGTTACCATTCACAGGCTTCCATACAAATAGCCCTAAATTAACGTTCCTCTGCTAGTTTTGTACTTACATTAGGTAAGAATTTAGAAAATGGTACATGCACACATTCTATACCTACAGATTTAACACACATTATAATAAGACCAGAAATACCTAGCAAGCAACACATATATTCATAAAACATAAAATTGTATAGTTAAGGGTTATAAAATATTTTTACAATCGTCGCCCTTTTAACTACCAAAGAATTGTCCACATCTTTTCCATTTGTTATAAAGCTAGTCACACTGGAACTGGAACGGAGAGACGAGAGAGCTGAAGCGGTCGCTCTACGCTCCAGGATGCAAGTGGCGATAAAAAACCCAAATGCGAAAAACAGTTTGAAAAACAAACTTAAACGGCACCTTTGAGAGGCACTCCGATGCCATTACCTCAGGAAACGGAGACGGGATAACATCGGATTTTTTCAATCTCCGTCCGTCAATGTCAATAATTGAATTTACGGACGGAGTTTATAATCGGCTTACTCTCAATAGATTGACGTCAAATATTTTATTTACGTATTTCTTATAGGGAAATATGTCAATTAAATATATACATAATATACTAAGTAAGTACGTAATTAGATATACCTCATTAAAAACCAATTGTTAATAACTGTTTTGATACTGCCTTTGTCATGACATTTTCAAATGTTTGTTTTTTTATGTATTACATTTTTTCTTTCGATTTCCTGTAATCTATGTACGATTTTGTAAAAAGGACGGAAATGTGTAACCGGTAGCCGGGGAAGCGGTTTTATTTATAACCCATTTTCTGAAATTATAATGCAATTAAAATATTTACAACATTTACGTACAAGGTTTAAAAAAAATCCTCCGCATCATCGCCTACTGACAGCATTCCCACAAGACTGACAGCATTGCCACATTGAATGGGAATGGTAATTCTGTGTGCTAGAAAAATGCTGGCCTTCTGATCACGAGAAGTGTCGGTCAATTACTTAGCTAGTTGTTTTTACATAGCACGAGCACGGGTCCCTCCATGACCCTACTGTCTCGATCCCAAAAAACATATCATTTTTATTCTATAAGTATATTGTGTTTTTGTAAACTATTCAGATGTGATATTGTTTTAATAAAAAGCTATAATGTGCTTTGTGTATATCATGTTAAATAAAAGCTAACGTTTAGGTACTGATATATGCTCAAAATTCATGTTTTATTTTTGTATTTATAACTTTTTGTATTTTTGTTTCAATCGACACAAATGTCTGGAAACTTAAAAAGAAAGAAAAAAAACTCTTGGAAACGCCTGACAATTTATAGTAGCAATTTATAATCGTAGATAATAAGAGAAAATATTATTCCAGTGCGTTTCCAGAATTACTTCTGAAGCCACATGTCATTAATAATAAGTATTCCTTATGAATATTAGTAAAATAAATACAATATTGTATGATAAGGAAATGTAAGGAAATTTTTACTAGTTATTATTGTTAGTATTTAATAAAGCGATAATATCTTGCCATGATATTCAGTTACTTATAAATAATATCATTTCGATGTGTAACATCTTTTCTCTCACTTTCCCGCAATCTGTTAGTGATTTCATAAAACGGAACGGGAGTATTGTAACAGAATGTCGGCAAAGCGTGCGCTATTTGATGGGAACGAAAAGCGCGCGCTATTTGATGGGAACGAAAAGCGCGCGGTATTTGATCAGAACAAAAAGCGCGCGCTATTTGATTAGAACAAAAAAGCGTTCGATTGAAGTGTTGGCTAGATGGTAGGTGAGTTATTAGATGTTACAGGTCATCAGGATCACTTATATTTTTCAATATTTTTACTGCTTTTTTGACAATAAACATATGTATATGTCAACGACAATTTATTTAACCCCCAAGTTTAAAACAGAGCAATGCAAACCTAATGCACGATGTTTCGATATTAGAAAGTATTTTTTTAATATAGTTGCTATTAAATACTATGTAAGCATCTCAATTATGCAGTCACGACCCTTATTTATAACAGAATGAAGTAATCAATCTTTATTATTGAATTGGCAATGACGCTCAACTGTGCAAGTTCGTCTGAAAATAAATCCAATTCATAATTACTGTATATTTACTCTAGTATAAGATTATGTACATATTTTAATAAAATACACATTCCAGATTTATAATTTGTCGTTTTCATTCCCTCTGTCAGAGTAGTACCTATTCTTTAAACTTTTATTTACAGCCTGAGCAACCGTAGTCCAAGAGAGGGGTCCTAGCGGTCTGTTGGACTACGGGTGCTCAGACTGTGACTCAGGCGATGGCGGAGCCGTGGACACGGCGCTGCACACGCTGGCATAATGCCCGGCGTGGGATAAGCAGAGGCGTGGCCCATCCTATTGATAAGAGTGATATTTATAACAGTGATTTTATTGTAGATCTATGCGTGTGACAGAAATCATAAATTATAGAAATTCCCAACTCACACCAAAGTAAAAATAATCACTAACATGACTACACTAACTTAGATAGTCCAAGATCCCAGTGTCAATTTTTACAATTGAAAACTATCAAGCTAATTTTCAGTGATTAGGTTCATTTTGATGAGACGCCCAGTTTCCTCTTACGAAAATTCTCATTACTCATTCTCTGACGATTTTTACTATTTTAATTTATTACTATCTAGACCAGACCTTGACCTTGAGTGAAGTTTCATTTGGTCTGGTCTAGACCAAATGAAACTTAATGAAATTCAAATTTTAAAGCGCTTCTACATACAAGAGGCAGCCTGTGTATAAACAGGTGGCAATAAAAAATCTCTCGAACAATTGCCTGTTAGTTGAGCCACCCGCCATGTCAGTTCAGTTAAAACCACAGACGTCAAATAGTTAGCCTTGTTGATGATGTTTTTAACCGCCTTCAAAAAAGGAGAAGGTTCTCAATTTGTCGGAATCTTTATTTTATTATGATGTCAATTATTATTATATGTAAGTTAGGTGACCTGATCGATAAATACTCTCACTAGTTACTAATACAACGAGTATATTAGTAACTTACGTATACATCTTTATATATAGAATTCTTCTGTGCGTGTGTATGTGTCCTTCTAAACGGCTGAAAAGATTTTATATCAAAAAAATTGTGTGTATTCAAGTAGATTCGTGAATGGTTTAGATTTACAATTCGTTTCACTTATTTACTTACTTACGAGGGTGCGTTTTTAAGTTCGCGGAATGAGAGGGTTGGAGGGGGGTGATTAGGCTCATTAGAATCGTCACGTGTTCAGTGACTCATAATTAGTATAAATACCAGGTTTCATTGTTATTAGACAATTAGTCTTTGAGTTATCGTCAACCAAGCGACATAATCGGGAGTGAAAAGTGAAACATGGAAAAAATCGAATATCGTGCCGTTACAAAGTTCCTTACCAAGCAAGGAAAATCAGTTGCGACCATAATGAATGAGATGTCATTGGTTTACGGCGACTCTTGTCCAGAAAAAACCATGGTGTACGAATGGCACAGTTTCTTTAAACAAGGAAGGGAATCCCTTGAAGACGACCCGAGGCCGGGCAGGAGCACCGAGGTGATCACGCCAGAACTTATCCAAAAAGTCGAAAAAATTGTACTCGACGATGCTCGACTAAAGAAGAAACAACCCGCAGAAATGGTTGGAGTATCTGATACAACCATTTTTAGAATTCTGCACGATCATTTTGGCATGACAAAAGTCAGTGCAAGATGGGTGCCGAGAATGCTCAACGCCGACGCAAAAACAAAAGCGCGTAGAGTGTTCACGTGCATTCTTAGACCTTTGTAATGAAGACAAGGATGCTGTATTGAGTAGAATTGTTACTGGAGACGAAACTTGGGTTCATCATTATGAACCTGAGTCGAAACAAGACTCCATGCAGTAGCATAAAAAAGGGCACAGCACCTCCCAAGAAGTTTAAGGTGTCACAGTGAGCTGGGAAACTCATGGCAACGCTCTTTTGGGACTCAGAAGGCATATTATTGATCGATTATAAAGATAAAGGTGTTTCTATAACCGGAGAATACTACGCTTCAATATTAGAGCGACTCAAAAAAGCCATTAAAGAGAAAAGACGGGGAAAATTGACAAAAGGTGTGTTGCTTTTGCACGATAACGCGCCGCGCGACACAAGAGCCGCGTTGCGTTGGCTGCCCTGCATGGGGTGGGCTTCAATATTTTGAATCACCCACCCTACAGCCCAGACCTGGCCCCCAGCGATTATTACCTGTTTCCAAAAATGAAAAAAGAGCTGCGGGGTAAAAAAATTACCAACGATGATGAAGTCAAGGAGGCAGTTTCGGCGTATTTTGAAGACAAAGAGAAAACATTTTTTTATGAGGGTATAAACAAATTAATTGAAAGATCTGAAAAATGTATCCGTCTTGCAGGTAAATATATTTAAAAGGAAAAATAATTTGTTTTTTTTTATTACCACCCCTTATCCCCATTCCGCGAACATAAAAACGCTCCCTCGTATTAGTCTACGATTTACGACCTATTAGAGCAGAGAACCAATGTAAAATGTTGCAGAAACGGGGAAAGTTTATTCTTTTTGAGAGACTAAGACGAAGACTGCGTCAGCTAGTTTATACGTAAAGTAAATAAGTAAGGACTTATAAATTATATTAAAGTAGTTTTTAATATCACTTAACTTTTTGTTTTCTGTTTATGTCAACATTTACTTTTTAATGTGTTAATATCTAGGTATCAATTAACTGTCTATTATTATGAGTAGGCCGCCGCGGGGTTTAGTGGGTAGACCGGTTCTCCGGGAGTCCCACACACGCCCTGCGTTTCCCTAACGGAGGGTATGGTGCGAAAAGCACGTGAAATATTCGCATTTCCCGCGTGAAAAAAAAAGGTATCAATTATTAATTTTCAGCGTATAGTATTTGTTTTAATCTAATACATGTGTAAATACAATATTTATAAGATAAACCACATTGTAACATTAGGTGTTATCTGCTATGATAACCTAGACCTAAACCTAAGTTATAGGTACACACAACATTAACACATTACAGTTTGTAATGGACAAATAAACTAAATAGGTGTTAGATACAAATTATCCGCAATGTTTATAAGAATGTAGTGTATGACTGCTGTCGTTATACTTAATAAATAATAAAAATAAAGGATTTGATTACATTAAAAATCATTTGCTTTTTGCCTTTATTTATTTCTTAAAACATCAAAATAGTTATTTCATGTTTAGGTAATTGAAAACATAATAATTTAAATGGTCTTTGTAATTGTACCATATGCTATACCTGTTAACGTACTTCCGCCACCATACGAAGCTATATAATAGTCATATTAGTAGGTACTAGAGATGGAATAAAATCACAATCACTGCGATAAATCATATGATTTATATATCAAATAAATACACCTAAGTATGACTAATTTACAAAACCACTGCGACTTATTATTATTTTTAAGCCTGTGCCAGACTCTGTGTCTAAATCTAAAAAAATCGTTCCTGATGTTTGATTTTGATTTTTGATTGATTGATTTGAATTTTCATTAACTTTTTTTCAATTTTGATTAATTGTGATGGCATCTATATTTCTATGATGACCAAATCACAATCACAGGTGAGAACGCACTGACTAAAACCAATTAATTATTTCATCATATAATTATGATTTGAAGGTCGGCGAGGTCGTTTTTAAATGGTTAGATACATTGAAATAATAAAACATGCGCACATGTTTTAACATACAATTTACCTAACGTAGGTATCATATCAGGTATTATATCATACATTAGTTTCAGTTTCGTTTTAAGTTAATTGGTTACGGAAAAATTATAAAACCAAGGGTTCTAACTTGCTTAGATATTAATTTGTTTACGTAATTATTCAACCTATTTTAAATAAATCAAATGATAACATACAATGGTATTGTTAAAAAGAAGAAAACCAATTTTTTCTTATACCTACCTTTCATCCCAATGTAGCATCAATGTTTACGAGGCCAAGAAATAATTTTGACAGAGAATGCTATGTAAAACATACATTGGTGGCATACTTCGAAATATTGAATAAAACTTAAATACTAAAATTAAGATAAACAATCACATCGAGGTCAGCCAAACATCTGGCGTCGGTTCTAAATTTTGCTTTGATGTAACGTTATTCATTCAGTTTTATTATTTCGTTCGTGTTGATTTTTTTCCCATTCGTTGTATAAAAACTGCGTAATTAGAAATTTTTGGCGAAAACCGAAATGTGTGGCATAACGTTCAAAAACGAATCGTGGTTTTGACCTACATTTATCATTTCAAATTATACTCTTAAGAGTATAGGACATATTCTTTTACAATTAATGTAATATCTATCTAAATCTGATAATATCTCATGAATTCATAAGTGAAGTGTTGCTTATTGGATTCAAGTTGGATTTAGTTTCCGAACCGAATTAGTGTCATGTCAAGTAAAATGTGACGGGTGCTCCATGTTTTGCCTTTTGTAATTTACTTGTTGATTTTATTATAAGAATTAGTGAGAATTTTGTGTATCGTTGCTATATCGTCGCGAGAACAGTTATGTTATTATTTTGTTAGTGAACTTTGTGTAAGCGATTCGGCCGAAGACTCCTACAGCCGCCGATTATACAGGTAACGGTATTTGTTGGTGACAACGTCGATATTTTCTTTTATACATTTATTATTTTAGTTATTATTGATTGTGATCAGTATAAGTGACCTTTGATTTAGCAATTAACGGGGTGTAGTTGGACACAACATTGTTTATTTAAGTAATGTTCTCGTGGTTGTCAAATTAACTTCAAGTCGATTTTTTGAAGCGGAACTAGTTTATGACAAGTGCACACTGTGTTAGTTTGTATTATTAGCTATTATCGTCTTATTTTACAATGGTTTTTACGATCCTCTCGATATAGATGTTGTTACAGAAATATTGCATTATAAACTACAACTATCTTTTAAAGTTTCGCGTTCTATAAAATATTATCATGTTTGTAAGCGAGAACCAACCTATCTGGCTAGCGTGGTATAGTAGGCCAAAACCTCCTTTCTAAGAAGAGGTCTATGTCCAGCAGTGGACTAGTAAAGGCTGTTGATGAAGCAAGAATTTTAAATTATAAGGTATTACATACCTTTGCCTCTCCTGACAAGTCAGTCAGAAAGTAGATGAAAGTAACCAACCGTCATTGAGTCCGTGAGGTAGAATGTTCTTCATCCATACACACTTGTTCTATATTACCCCTTTGCCATGTACCATCATATACTACACGAACAGTATTCCTATTCTAGAGAATGCACAAAATTTACAATTGCTAGTACCTTTACAATATACTTCCCTTTATGTCTATATGAAAATAAACTGTGTACTGAGTAATTAAGATAACTTTTAGTACTCGATCCACTTGCCTGTTAATGTGGTTAACTGTTGACCTGACCTACTCATGGCAGTTTTATCCATTCAGTGATTTCTTAAACTGAAATATTCTGTAGCTAAACATGCACCTGTGCAGGTGTTATAAAACATGAAATAAATTAAAAAAAAGTTATCTTAAAATAAAAAGTATTTAGTCATTAAAAACTGTCCACTATCAGACCAAAAACATACTTCAAAACTTAATTTTTTTAATGAGACCAAATCCATCTTTAAATTTATAATCTTAGCCTATAATCTGTTTAATATGTAATTATTTTTTTTATACATCTGTTCCATCATCATATAACTCCTCGGTTTTTTCTATTTCTGTAACAATATGTGACCTGTAGAATTTGCTATAAATATTATCCCAGAACAGCACTCTCTGGTTCTTTGGTGGTGGACTCCCCCTCAGTGTTGTACCTTCAAAATGTAGCATCTGTATGCTGGCTATGGCCTTTGTATCCCGCTTATCTATGGCAACTGGTTGCCATATATCTGGTATTAAACTGGTGGTAAGCGGTGTGGGGTCTCTGGAACAAATGTAAATAAATATTAATTTAATAAATTGTCTTGTTTTTAATCTCTTTTGAAAATACATGTGGAATATAAAACAAATTCTATAAATGTATTGTATAAAACAAAGATATTTATTCAGAGTCCATTGTGTCATTGTATCCAACAAAATACTTAATATTATTAAAATCTGTCCTTCATTTTGCATTACTTTTAGCAGTAATACTCAAACTGGATTTTTGTTGAAGCTTAGTTTTAATCTCAAGTCACTTGCTGCTTCATTTCATGTTTGGTACATTTAAATTCCATCTATGTGGTGACATTTTAAGAATACAGGAGGTCACCATTCATTCCGTGGGTGTTGTAAAAGCCTACTAAGGGAGCAAACTACAGCACTGTAAAGAGAAGGAATACTAGAAACAGACACTATACCAACCCGTCTGGCCAGTGTGGTATAGTAAGCCAACACCTACTTTCTAAGGAGAGGCCTATGTCCAGCAGATTGATTCTTTAAAAGTGCAAAAAATTAAAAGCAGGATTTCATTTATTCTCATAATTGATCTCACAACATAACAAGTTTAAATCTTAAAACAAAAAAAAGCACTGCTCATAGAATATACAAGTTCTAGAACCCAGTCAGTCAGAAACCCACTCTAACACATATAAAAAATTCAACAAAATAAGTCCAGTGGTTCAGTTTGGTAATATACACACAAACACATACAGACAATTATATGAAAAATTGTAAACTTAAGCAAAAGATTATGTGCAAAAGTGCAGTAAGTAAATCTAATATTATAGCAAAATACCTACCCAATTTTAATGAAGTTTTGCCACAACGTTTGTGCCCTCTCTAAAACAATATCACCATCATAATCTTTATATAAACTATCCAGGATATTACTGATTGTAGATGTATCAGTTCCCTGAGTGAACTGCATCAAATATACCATATGGGGGCCGTTTCCTGCATAAAGCATTGCAAATTTTAGAACTGGATACTCTATAAAAACATCATAACTGTATTCAAAATAAGCTTGGTCTAAATCCTCCGTTATATAAATATCATTTCCAAAGTAAAATTCTTTGATTATCTGTCCAACTTTCTCTTGGATAACACCACTATTGAATTCTAAGTTATTTGGCATTAAATCCGCCATATTATCTGGTGGTTTCGCAAAACTTTCTGTAATATTAGGCTTGTAATTTGTGTCAGCATATGTGATCATTGTTGGTACCTTATGGTATTTTCCTTCCTGCAGTTTGTGTATAGGATCAAAGTTTATTAAGCTATGTGAATCCTCGTTGTTCTCCACACATGGTAGAAATGTAACCTGTATGTTGCTTAGGTCTTCAGACGATGCTTCTTCATAAAATCTATACATTTCTTCTACATCATTTGTTCCTTCATACCCTATTGAAATAGCACCTTGATAGGCTAAGGAGACAGGATCGTAAGTTATGGACATTGGAGAGAGTGCTGATCCAGATTCAACAATTACTTTGTGTATTAGTCCATTAACTAAGCCAGATGTAAGAAGCAGCTGTACACTGATAGCGCCAGATCCTATTCCATGCACTATCACTTCGTCAGGATTCCCTCCAAAACGTTTAATGTTTCTATGGACCCAGTACAAGGCAGCTATCTGGTCTTTCAAGCCAGCATTTCCGAGAGCTTCAGCAGTATTCAGACATAAGAATCCTAGGGCTCCGAGGCGGTAGTTAAAACTAACTACGACGAAATGTTCTTTCAAAATTCTTTCAGGAGGTTCATAGGTGCCCCATCTGGAAATATTTTATTTATTATCATTATATTTTCGTTTAAATAATCTGCTGAATGTTGAAATCTCCCTCAACCACGAATTTAGACAAGAAATCCTGTGATTTCAAACTTTTCTTACAACATCTTAAGGATTAAACGTATTTGTAACTCTTGAGGCAGTCGCTTTCAATCTTATGACCCGTCTGCTCATTTTCCCCTATATGTAAAAAACATAAAAAAAAGAAACACTTAAGTTAGCTACCGCATACAAATTCTGAAGGTAAGCGGTAGCCGTAAGCTTTGTGGCTACACATTCATGGGTGACCAAACAAAAACTTTTAACTACCTATCTTAATTAGAAACTCCATACTAAAGTTAAATAAAAAAGCGTCTGCAAAAGGTGATTCCTTTCGAATTGCAGTATTTAAAAACTCTGTTTTCTCTGAGTTTTGAAGTATGAGTAAGCGTCATCGGCGAGTTCGGTACAATGTCAGTAATTATTAGCATAGTCATGAATCCTCACAAACGATTCCTAACAATTATTGTATTACAGCTGTTCGCTGCAGTTTTACCCGCGTTTAAACTTACTGCGCCGCTCCTAAGGCTCGGAGTGTGATGTCCTAATAGCCTAAAACCTTCCTTAATATTCAATTTAATACAAATACTTTTTTTGAAACAGGAGTGATAGTTTAGGAGATTATCGCGTTAAAAAGTCTCATATTACACCTATTTATTATGACCAAAGTATGTACTTGAAAGAGGTCAACCTAAAAAAAGCACTCTTCAGACTTTTATGTCTCTTTCCCACATTAAATCTATTTCTTCATACATAACCTATGGGAGACGTCCGGGCTTAAGAATGACTAAAGTTGCGAAAGATTAATGGTATAGCCGCCGCCCAAGGACACCTCATTCACCAGCTGAAGAACAACAAAAGAATTTCTCAACACCGGTTCTCTGTGAAGCAGTGGTCTCTCGGTCGAGCCGGCCCATATTTGCAGAATCAAGGCTCTCCCACGGTTGTTCATTGACAAAGACTCAGATCCGTAAATGTATAATAAAACGATTGCATTTTCGTGATTCGGAAATTCCCAGTTAGTCACTCGCGCGATGGCCTTCTGAAGCCTTCGAACTGTGATCCGTTGTACATAAAAAAATGTCATGACGCACGTTTAACGGCTTTGTCACAGCTGCGATAAGTAGAAGACAACTACTTACTTCAGAAATTCGGACAAGGCTTTTTTCAATTGGGTAGGGTAATTGTTTATTTGTTGATGAAAATAATGCGTTTTCATATATATATATATATTTGTACGAGTTCATTTAAATGACGAGGTGCTTAAACAACACTTCAGTAAATTTAGCAAAAATAATAAAAATAATTTAGTCTCAACCCAAAAAGGTTAACTGTTAATATTTTAAAGTGTGTTTGTCTGTCTGTTTTATAGGCATCTTTGGTATCATAGCTCCTAAACGTAACAACCGTTTTTTTTAGTTTTTAACAATTTAAACGTGATTTAATCGAGTGTGTTTACTTCACGGCTAGCTTATTAAAAAAAAAAAAAGTTTAGCCATTAGATTATCATCTGCTTCTTTCTAACTGTTTTTTATCTATTTTAAAATCTGTGGATACTTCCGTAAAATTATAACCACTCAGCTAAATTAACACTAAACAATACTCTACCATCTTTGTCATCTAGTGTGTGATTGAGCCGTGTGCACCAATAGTCAAATATTTGTGAATATATTCCCAACTATTCAAAACTAGCACCGTTGTCCTAATAAGGGCGGAGGTAATGACGTAATCAAACAGTCTTATGAGAACCTTTATGAAGGTTCAATGCGCCTAAGTGTTTAGAGGTTTCCATCTATCCATTTTATTTGAAATTGACGCGTCGTGTAATATACGATATGGTCGGCTACTTGTCTGAAGCTGACCAGTTATCAGACGAGACAAACGTAAATTGGGATAAATGACAGTTTAAAAAAACAATCAAAAACACGCTTTTGTAGCTAGCCGAACTAAAAAGTAGGAAATAATTATCTATACTTTTTTTAAATAAGTGAAAAAGCTTGGGGTTACTACACGTCAACACTTACGTTAATATTGGTTATAATGTGTGTGTGTGCATTGAAACATGTCAAACTCAGAGATAGGCACAGAGCCGGCGCGATCGAATATGAACAGTACGATGGTACTGCTAAACGTTGCAAGTACATGGGCGGCTTACCGTCAGGTGACCTGTCTGCTCGTCTGTAGGAAACTTGTTGCTAAACTATGTGTGCTATAAGTACGTTTATCGTTCCCTAACTGCCGAAGGAGGCTAATGTTTTCCGCAGCATAGCATAAAAAAAGAAAAAAAACCAGCAATTGTTTCCCCCCATTCTCTCCGGCGCCAATAATAATATGAGAGAATTTTCCAAAAACTTTTTATCATGATTTCTTATTTTCATGTATTTAAGTAGTCGATATTAAGTATGTATCTAAATAATTTTTATAAAAAAATATATTTTACGTTAATCTGTTTAGGGGTCTGAAAAATGCTATTTAATTGGCGGACTGCGAGTCGTCAGCCAAGCATCAGAAATTCTAAACCAATTCTTAGGTGACCTAAAGGGGAAATTAAATAATTATAAATTACCTCTCCGTAGAGCCAAAATAAACTAACACTAGATGACTTTTGAGATATAACCATTTAAAGTTTAAAAAAGTAAAAATTAATATATTTTAAAATGAATTTTTAAACATTACATGTTTTGACTAATTTTAAACATAGTTTAAAAACTATTTGATATTAATTATCACTGATTTGAGATAACTCATCGAGATTATAAGTAAATAAGTTGAATTCAAGTTAGTTAATTTTTGCCCTAATAGTTTAGTTTTAGGATGTAACTAACTGTTTTCAGTGAATTCTTACTCATATATAAATTATTTTTGTGATTTGAAATGATAGGACAACGTCGGTTGGATAGAAAAATTAATAAAAAACCAATTACTACATGACGTCACAAACTCATTTTACCTTAAAGTGTAGCTTAGTTTTTTTATTTATTCTTTCAAATTGTAAACATAATAATAAGATAATTTTAATATACATAGCATTTGCTAAGCCACGAAGGTTTATAATGAATGCTAGGGGTTAGTATAGATCGATACGAAAATGTCACAAAAGTCAAAAAGGTTACTAAATGCATATGTATGTTTACACGGTACATATGCCAAAATAACATTTTTTACAATTTTTGTCTGTCTGTCTGTCTGTTTTTTCCGGGTAATCTCTGGAGTATAGAGGGTAGTTAATTAATCTGGGCACTAAGTATTCGGTTGTTTTTTCACCGTATATATTATTTGTCGCCGCTCGACTGGTTTCGCACACAACATTCTTAATTTTCGCTTTTTGTAAATAACACCATCTGTGTTATTTTGTCATATATTTACAAATCGAGGACCCCGTAGAGCGAAAATGTTACTTTCGCATTTATAATTTCAGTAAGGATTTCTGTAGCAATTAAATTGCTGAACGGTAATATATTGTCCGTGTGGTGACGGATTAAGAATACAGAGTGTCACCACCCCTATTCATCCCGTGGGTGTCGTAAGAGCCGACTAAGGGAGCAAACAACGCAGGACAACAGCGCTGCAGAGAGAAGGAAAACTTGACACAAACCCTTTACCAACCCGTCTGGCCAGCGTGGTATAGTAGGCCAAAACCTCCTTTCTCAGGAGAGGCTTATGTCCAGCAGTGGACTATTAAAGGCTGTTGATGATGATGATGATGAATATATTCAAGAACTGTTAAAAGAAAGTGGGTATTACCCACTTGTATTATAGTTTTGCAGTCTTGGTTTTTTTTTTTTGCTTAAATATGTAGTTTTAAAATGATTAATGGATGCACTTTTGTGTTATTTTTTCTTGGTCTAAAGTTTCTCTGCTGAAAACTGTAACAAGTTTGTATTTAGAATAATGTACAGTTACAACAAGTATAATTTTTAACACAAAAAAACCTACTTCAAATAGTAAACTAAAAAGCTGCATCATCAAACCCTGATTTCCTGAACATGGGACCACCTTTGAATTATCTTCTTTCCAACAAAAAAAGAATAATCAAAATCGGTTCATAAACAACGAAGATATCCGCGAACAAACATAAAAAAGCCTATATACGGTCGAATTGAGTAACCTCCTCCTTTTTTGAAGTCGGTTAACAAAAGAAATGTGTAAATGTTTATTAAAATATGTAAGTTATAACTCTTCTTCATGTATACAAAGTTGTATCTAATTAATAATAACCCACACATCTCACACGCGGCTGTCTGATCCCATGGTAACCAGACTACTGATAAACAAAGACACTTAAACATTTCTAAATACATACATATAATAGATAAATACCACACAGATACAGAACAAATGATTGTGCTCATCACAGAATTATTTGTTGTTTTGATTTAATCGCTATATGTAAATAAAGAAATGTATATCATCTACTGAGATATACACAAAGTAAATAAAAAAAAAATAGTTTTAAAAAACTAAAAAACTGACCGTTTAAAGTCAGTCAAAATCACGCCCGAAGGAGTCGATTACAAACATACAAACAAACATACAAGTGAGGCTAATATAAAGCGTGTAAAAATATTCTTCTATTTGTGCGATATTTTTAACATATATGATACACAAAGAACACCCAGAATCAGAAAAACAATTTGTGGAAAATGAAAACATATTGTAGTGTACCTTTAATGGACATTACATACCCGGTCTGGAAACCTCCATCATGTACCAGCACATAGACAGGCAGTGGATCAGCATGTCTTGGTGCGAAAATATTGATGACCAGACAGTTCTCGTCGCCATCCTCGCCTGGTTGGGGACACTTGATCTTGTGGCTCGCTTCGAAGATCCCGTCCCATGTGGGCGGTGGTTCTGGCGCCTGCAGTAAGAGTCTGAATGAAATATAGTCACTACTTCGAAAGTTTTTTTTATGGTATAAGGGGGCAAACGAGCAGACGGCTCACCTGATAGTAAGCAACTACCGCCTTCCATGGATACCTGCAACTCAAAAGTGACAAGTGTGTTGCCGCCCTTAGAGTTGCGCTTGCTGGAGGGATTTTGCGCTTCAGTAACCTCACACACTCAGTGAAAGGCAACGAAAGAATTGCTTAACGAGCCGGCCCATTCGTGCCGAAGCATGGCTTTCTCATGGTTGTAGCGGTTAAGTGTAGAATTCATGGAAAGTTATAGCTAACTAAACTACATTATAAAAACTGCTTTTGATGAAATCTGAGAGCGAATCCTGCCCATGCCTTTATTTCGGTGTGCCTGAATACCGATTAGCTTGTTTTTACTTGAAAGGTAAAACTTGTTTGTCAGTAATCCTAAACAGTGTAAACAGAAGGATTTGTCAGAATAAATCATATAGACACTGCCATCAGAACGGTTGCCTTATTCATGGTTTGATGAACGACTTTCTCATGGAATAAAAAACTTGTAAAATGATACCCTGCAATGGATTTCTTAAAAATATATGTATGAAAATATAGACATGATTTTTTAGCATCGCATCACATATAATAGTCCACTGCTGGACATAGGTCCCTCCTTAGAAAGGAGGTTTTGGCCTATTATACCACGCTGGCCAGACGGGTTGGTAAAGGGTTTGTGTCAAGTTTTCCTTCTCTTTGCAGTGTTGTTGTCCTGCGTAGTCTGCTCCCTTAGTCGTCTCTTACGACACCCACGGAATGAATAGGGGTGGTGACATTCCGTATTCTTAATCCGTCACCACACGGATAGATATTTTTTAGCAACCGTTCACATTTAGGCTTGCCAAATTGTGCTTGCGTGCTATCAACTAAACGGATTATCAAATACCTATTTATACATCTATACAAATAAATAAAATTTAAGTGTATTTGTAATGTCAAAATAATAGGTGTTTTTCGGTTATTTGCACGATACCAATGCCTAAAAAAAAAAAGTTTCTTTGTCTATCTGTCTGTCTGTTTGTTCCGGGTAATCTTCTTAACGTCTAGACCGATTTTGATAATATTTTACCAGGTATTTGTATATATAAGGAGTAACTTAGGCTATTTTTCCTCTCAGAAAAACCTTTGCCCGGTCCGAAAATCGAACCCACTAAGGCAGCGCGAAGTCGCGGTTACCAGCTAGTTAAAATTATTTTTAAACATTAACTAAATTCCATTACCCTATGACGTTTGTCCGGGAACTCATAATAATAGCTACACTTTAACTTCGAATATATATAGTTATAGTTGTAAATATACAACTTTCATTCGTGTGGCAGTCGTCGTCCGACTGCCGCGTCACTGCCACACGAATGAAAGTTGTATATTTACAAGCCCACGCACACATAGGACTATACATATATATAGGATATACTATTCATGTGATCAGACGCTAATAGTAATCATAGATCAATAAAATCGGGGGCATTGAACACCGTAACTTTTCAACAAGCAATGTCGCTGATTAAACTAACGATGCTTATTACTTGAATGAAACTACGAGTAGACCATATTGCTGTACGCATATTGACGGCGCCAATAACGACTACCTGTCTGCAAAATTACATACCTTATCCATTAAATCTACATACATACATAGGTATATCCCCGGAGAGATAGTCAAAATCGCTTTAGTCCCACCTTCATAATAGAAGACAAAGCTACTTTATATCGCTGTTTTAAAATTAGATGAGAATATTGAGAGAAAAAAGTAGAGAATGGAACTGAATACTAGGAAAATTGATATCTATACATCTATACAAATAAATAAAATTGGAGTGTCTGTTTGTAATATTAAAATAACCGCTTTTTAATAAATGCATATGTATGTTTACACGGTACATATGCCAAAATAACATTTTTTACAATTTTTGTCTGCCTGTCTGTCTGTTTGTTCCGGGTAATCTCTGGAACGGCTGGACCGATTTCGACGGGACTTTCACTGGCAGATAGCTGATGACATAAGGAGTAACTTAGGCTACTTTTTGAAGACTAGCTTCGCCCCTTGGCGTTGCCCGCGGTTACAACAACAAACGCGGGTAACACCGCGGGTCTCAGTTAGTTGCACATACGAATAGATCGTGGAGCGTAAATGCAGTAGCTAGCGTAGCTGACCGAATCTAAGCACTTTTTTATGTAAGAGGGGGCAGACGAGCAGACAGGTCACCTGTTGGAAAGTGACTACCGCCGCCCATGAACGCCTGCAACTCGGGAGTCACAAATGCGTTGCCGGCCTTTTAGGAGTACGCTCTTTTCTTAGGTTTGAAGGTCGTATCGGTCCGGAAATACCGCAGACGATAACTTGTTCCACAGATTAATTGTGCGAGGCAAAACGTGTCTTGAAAAGCTCACAGTGGTGGAGCGACAATTATCCAGGTGGTGGGGATGAAAATTTTGTCTGTTGTTTCGCAAAATTATGACTCCATGCACCTTCGTTAAAGTTTTAGATACTATTTATTTAGACAGAGACCATAGTGTTAGGATAGTTTTTTCTAACCTATGTGGTAGTTAATAATGTTAGTGAAAAAACAATCAATAAATTGATTGTTTGTTAGTAACGTTCTGACAGGGCTTTTCATTGTAAAATTATTACAAATTAAAATATTTTATTACAAGGTAACAAATACATTGCCAAATAGAAATATTTTTTTAATTTTAATATCCTGGGGGGCTTGTTTCTAGAAGCAAATTAAGTCAATTTTAGAAGTAATTTTGGACACCAACCATTACGTAAATGTTCTCACGAACCCCTACCATCCATCCCCCTACCATCGAATTGCGAACCCCTAAGGGTTTGTGTACTCCACTTTGAGAAACCCAATCTAATTTACATAACACTAAATGAGATTAATCCATTAACAAACATCTGACCTTGTAGCGGTCCCTCCGTGTGGGTGAGCGAGCGTACGGTATACCGAAGTAGGCGGCATGAGTTGGAGTGAGGTACCCTCTGACCGTCCCTTGCGTGGTAGAAACGTCCCGATGCGGCTTGATCATAGTCGCTCGCCGGCCCATCACGCCCAACAAACTACTCACAACAAACACTGTAATAAGCTTCATGGTTTACTCCGATCTGGCGTCATGTCGACTAGTGTGTGGATGTTGTTTACGTTATAACTATCATAACATGAGCTGGCCGAGGAAAGTGTGTATGTGTGTTTGAATGGCGGGAATTCGAAAACAAATGTACGTATGTTAGGACTAGCTGATATTTATATGTGCGTAGATGTGCCTATTGTAGCTTGTTCTGTTTGTATGTCATTGTTAATCCTTACTTCTTCGCTATTTAATAGTATAAAGTCGCCTTTTTGTGTTGTACGCTTAGATCTCTTAAACCAAGCAACCGATTTTAATGCGGTTTTTATCAATAGATAGAGTGATTCCAGAAGAAGATTTATATGTATAATACAAACATATTATACTAGAGAAAATCCGAAAACTGCAAAGATTTGTCGTAAAAACATGTTTTTGTGCGCTTATATTGCAAACGCTCGCTAAACCTTACGGAATAGACCAAAATAATGTACTACGGAATTGTATATCTTAAAAAGATCCCTTATGGATAACCCACAGAATCCATTTTTATCTACTACATATTTAAAAAAAAATAGGTAATTTACGAAACTATTTTGAACGATACAATATTATTGAGTAAAAAATAAATACGTTAGATACGTTGTACATTTAACTAAGATCAAAATTGCCTTATACAGCATATCATTAATGGGAATTGTAATGTCATTCAATTAAATATATATATTATAACTATATTATGAATGAATTTGTACTGAGTTGCGAAATGATAGGTGGTGAGTGATACTTTAAATAAAATTATTTTATTTATTCTTATTAAAGTGAAAATCTTAGTAGATATCAGAAATTTAAAGTGCAGGGGCAAAGCGGCCGTCGCGTCGCCGTCGCTCGAGTCGTACGTCCCTCCTGAGTAGCGCCGGCAGGAGCGGAGCGGGCTTACAAATATTGCATTATTATAAAGATGTCTTGTAGTCTTATCATAAAAATAGTATAATTATTTACTCCACACTGTCACCACATCAGTAGTCACCACCCGGGGCTGATCGCTAAAATAAAATCTAAGTATTTTTTAAATATCAGACAACTCAATGTTAGTCTGGTCATAATTTTGCAATTGTTTCATAAATAAGCAGTAATAAACAGACATTATTAATTCCTTCTTTTAATTTTTTAAAAGACAACTCCCGCACTAGGTATAAATCCTGTGTTGCGGGGGACTTTACAAACATACATTAAACGGACACAAAGTACACTCAGACTCAGAACAACAATTTGTGGATCACACAAGGTGTTGCCCCATGTGGGGTTTGAACCCACAACACTCGACGTAATAGGAAGCGGCGTGGCGACCGCTTAAACCACTACGCCATCCGTGTTGTTCGCCACTCCGCCAATTGTACGTACGCATTTAGTAGAAAGTTTGTTGTGTTAAGAGGGCGTATAAAGCAAAATTACCAATCTTATTTTTGATTTTACATGAAAAATTCCGGACCAAATGTTAAAATAAAAATGTGTGGATAACTACATGATATTTCCGAGGGTTCACATTGATCAAAAACATGAAATAATAACATTTCCTCGAAAGAAAAAAATCACGAAGTAACCTCTAATTCTAATATTTTTCCGTTTTGTACTCGATATGGTAATGCCTATTGCGACAAAAATTTGATAATTAATTATACTTTTACAAGAGTAAAGGCTTTGTTTAGGCATTTTATGTAATTCCTTTTAGTTTTGGATATATTTGGATATAACAGTTTTGGCGCATACTACGTTTTTATTCCGCGCAAGAATTCATCGTCCGTCGCACGTTGCGGGAGCTTCAAGCATATTTCTATTTCAGACATCAGTCGCTACCGCTCCGTTGAGACGAGAGGACTGCGCTCAAGTGTTTAGGCGCGCCGAGTTATTATCAATTCAATTATTAGATTATTAGGATAGGAGGTAATAAATTAGATAAATAATAGGTAGCTATTTACTTTTGCTTTTTGTTATATTATTCTTCACAATAAAAAATTCTGATCATTTTCCCCTAGTGTAATTATGATATCTTCCAAAAGTCTAGATAGACGTATGGACTACATAATGATCTTGCGAGTATTCTATAAAAATATTAAAATAATAATAATTACATTCTCCATAAGTCTATGATCACTCATAAGTAACGCGGGCAGTATAGTTTGGTATAGTATATGCAAAATAAACACAAGCTTTTAGTTGGTGTCTGTCTTTGTTCGATGAAATATATTTATGTCGATTTCGAAGCTATTTAAGTATGTCCATTAGGTATTTAAAACCTATTTTTAACCGACTTCCAAAAGAAGGAGGTTATCAATTCGACTATTATGTTTCTTTTGTGTGTGTTTGTTACGGGATTACTCCTGTTCCTGCAGTTCCTGACCTAGTCTTGGAACCGTCCGTGTAAATTCGGACTTCGTTAATGCTGGATTGATCTCGGTCATTTCCATGTATCTGGATGTAGTATCTTCTTGTGAAGATATGGTATTTTGGGATTCTATCGCATGGAGCTGCTATCAGTGGTTCGTATTCCACCAATTGATCCCATAATTTGGAGTGCGATCCCTCACTTTTGTGCCATAGACCCAGGTGTTTGAGTCTAATGATCGCCATGGCGGCCTCCTGCTGTATGAATAGATCCAGGGGTGGCAGACCAAGAGCCACCTCCAGTGCGGCAGTAGGCGTTGTGCGCATACAGCCAGTGACCGCAGAGCATGGGAGTCGCTGGAATTGCTGCAGTTTGTTTATGACAGTGCTTAGCTCTGTTCTCTGCCACCAGACAACAGCACCGTAAGTGATTAATGGTCTTATGACTGTCCTGTATAGCCATAAAGTAATTTTGGGTGATAGTCCCCAGCTTTTGCCGAGTAGCCGCTTGCATTGGCAGAAAATAATGCAGGCTTTATTCAGTTTTTCATCGAGGTGCTTATTCCACAGGAGTTTACTGTCCAGTATTACTCCTAGGTATTTGACCTCTTTGGTAAGAGTAAGTTGTGTTCCAAATAGCTTGGGAAGTCTGAGATTTCCTAGGCTGCGTTTGTTTGTGAACATGATCATCTCTGTTTTGGATGGGTTCACTGTCAAGTTGTGTGCTACGCACCATTGTTCCACGATCTTCAGTGCAAGTCTCATTTGATCGCATGTAATGCTCTCAAAAGGACCGCTGATGAGAATAGTAAGATCGTCTGCATAGCCTATTGTAAGGAATCTTTGGTCATTAAGTTGTGCGATGAGCTCATCCACAACAATGTTCCATAGAAGGGGGGAGAGTACACCGCCCTGGGGGCAACCTCTAGCCACCACTGCTCTAGTCACTTCGCTCACAGTGAATTGAATAGCTCTATATCTTAGCATGCTGTCGATCCACCCTGAGATTGTGGAATCTACACCATGCCTAGACAGAGCTTGGCTAATGCTGGTGAAGTTGGTCTTGTCAAAGGCTCCCTCGATATCGATAAAGGTGGCCAGTGTTGACCTTTTGTGATTTAGATTGTCTTCTATATATGAAACAACTCGATGTAGGGCAGATTCTGTTGATTTACCCATCGAGTATGCGTGTTGATTGAGGTGTAGAGGGTGACTGACTAACGCAGTTTCCCTGATTTCCCTATCTATTAGCCTCCCGAGAACCTTTAGTAAGAAAGATGTGAGACTAATAGGTCGGTGTGATTTGGGTTGTGTGTAGTCACCTTTACCAGGTTTGGGGATGAAGACTACTTTAACTTCTCTCCATTTCAAGGGGATGTACTGATGCGCCAGGCAGCCCCTATAATTTTTTACAAGATGGTTCAGTAGTGTCATATCACACCATCTCAGTAGGCCTGGAAAGACACCATTTAGTCCTGGCGCCTTGAATGGTAGGAAGCTGTTAATTGCCCATCTTAGTTTGTCATGGTTGACAACTTGGCCGTATCCCAGTCTGTATCATCTGGTGGGTTTGCCCATCTGTCTTCCCATTTTTCCATCACATCTGATATACGACTTCCAGGGAAGTGTGTTTTTAATAACAGCTCTGAGGCTTCCGAGTCTGTTTTGGTATACTCACCATCAGGCTTCTTCAGTGAGCCAAGATTGTGTTCGCCTCTACTACACAGTATGTTTTTGACTCTATTACCCTGGTTGTTGTTCTCTATGTTAGTACAGAAGTTTCTCCAGCACTCAGTTTTCCTGGTTCTGATTCTCTCCTTATATTGTTGTCGGGCCTGCGTGTAGGCATCCCAATGTTGGTCTAATCGCGAGTTTTTTGCTTTATTGAACAACTTTCTCACTTTACGACGTAGTCTTTCCAGTTCCGGACCCCACCATTGGTGGTTTGTTCTGTGGTCCAGTTCTGGGTGTGGAAAGTGGGCATGTTTGTTCAAAGCAATCGATCAGTGTCTGTGTAAGGTTGACAACATGACTGTCAATGTCCTTAACAGTCCCCGTAGCGTATCTTGGGTTGATGCTTCGCAGTTTCTCCGCAGTAAGATGTTCATACCGTTTCCGGTCCATTGTGCGGGGATTCCGTCGGGGATCGGGTAGTTTAAGTTTCATTTCAAAGTTAAATTTGATCCAGCGATGGTCTGAGCACGATGCTTCGTTCGAAATATGCCAGTTCGATATGTGTTGCGATGCGTGCTCACTTGCTAATGTAAGATCAATTATAGTTTGGGCCCTGGATGTGACAAATGTCGGCTCCGAGCCCACGTTGATAATGTTAAGGTTAGTTGATAATAGGAACGATTCAAAGTCGGTGACAAAAGCACTAAATCTATCAAACAAAGGTCCCTTGTATGACGCGACAAATCTTTAAAAAACCTGAAGAGAAAATATGTAGTGGGCCCTAGCTAGTGACCAACCCGGTCTGAGCAGTACTGCTTCTGAAAGATATATAATTGAAGGAGACCGAGACCAACCCGGTCCGAGCAGTACTGCTTCTGAAAGATTTATAATTGAAGGAGACCGAAATCTCGTTAGTTCAAATAATTTTGCAGCTGGACCCCATACCCTTTATTACAAGAAATTATTATACCAATTACGGAATATTGATAAGAAAGACGCGATTGAATATGATTTTTATTATGATTTTTTATTGATTGATATTTGATATGATTGAATATTTGAAATAAATATAATATTATTTTTTGGTATTGATTTTTATTGATTCGTGTTCAGTATCAGTGGTATAGTCACCTCCTACTAACTTACTATTTAGGTATTATTCGTGTACACAAAACATTTCGTAATATTGTATAACGCAGTCATAGTTTGAATACAGTTGTTTCATCTGATTATTATACGTATACTACAGAAGATACGCGTCGAGCGAGCGCGTAGGTACACGCGCGATCGTTTTCGATGTGAGGGGAGCGGGCAGGGGAGCGCGGGTGAATTCTTAAATTTTGCTGGCTTTATACGCGCTCTTAAAGCTGGATTCCACCCAGACACAGTTCAAATGATAGGTTTAGCAAACAGGATCACTCATCGCTAGACAAACATGTCATAGTCATTCAAATCTTGTCATTCCAAACAGAGACTTTATTGATTTGAGTACACAGACATATATATAAAAATATGTATGTACACATAACCAAGGTTGTATTGCTTTTATATATTTATCTGGAAATCGTCTACGTAATTCGAAGTCGGCATAGCCTTTTTTTCTTCTACAAAAGAAATTCCTACATTATAAAAACAATTGCGCAAATGTATAATGCTGATTGAGAAATATTATCGGAGTGTAAATATCTCATAGACAATACCTATTTATTTATATGTATAATAAAGTGTATGTAAATATGTCTAAGGGTATGTTCAAAAGATGAGCGTCACAAAAACAAAAGTATCATTACTTGGGGAATTAACATTATTATGTGAATATATGGGGAATTCACTAGTTCTGGATTAGATATATCTATTAGTAGGTCCGTGTGGTGACGGCTTTAGAATACGGAGTTTCACTACCCCTTTTCATCCCGTGGATGTCGTAAGAGCTGACTAAGGGGGCAAACTACCCAGAACAACAGCACAGCAAAAAGAAGGAAAACTTGAAACAAACCATATACCAACCCGTCTGGCCAGCGTGGTATAGTAGGCTAAAACCTCCTTTCAGAGGAGAAGCCTATGTCTAGCAGTGGACTATCATAGGCTGTTGATGTGATGTTGATGTGTGATTACTTGTTACCCAATTATTAAATGTACTAGCAATTTACTAGAAGGTTTACTAGCCACCGAAATTCCCGTACTAGTATTCCCGTTAACCCCCCCCCCCCCCCCCCCCTCCCCCGCTAAGCTAAATTGCTTGTGTTAGCTAAATATGAGTGAGTTAACGTCAGTAGTGTACTGGTCAGGATTCGAACTCACGACCTCTTTAAGTAAGTAGTTAGTAAGTAAGTAATCTTTATTGTAGATCATAGGTACATTATATATATGATATAGTTATCGGTATTTAGTCCGGCTATGTCCCGCCCATTGGGCATACAATAGATAAAATTATTATAGTATATGTACCTACATGCAATGAATAATAAAATTTGTTAATTCAAAATAGATCACATCTTAACAGAATTTGCAAACAGGCAATAATAATGTAGACATACAATAATAAGAGTAGGGAACACTGAACAAATTATGGCCGGGGTATTGTGTAATGGAGAGAGAGACCTGTCGGTCATGTAATCTTTGGCCGTATAATAACATTTATTTAGCAACAAGTCCTGTAGTTTCTTTTTAAACATGGTAATTTCTTTAACCTTCCTGATGTCTCTTGGAATATTGTTGTATATACGCGAAGCTGTACAGAATATACCTTCATGCATCAGATGTGTCTTGCTAGCAGCTATGTACTCTTGATCGCAAGTTCAATGCCTTAACCACTAGGCTTCCGCTGCTTAAATTAACGGTTAGTGACTTTTTTTCCAACTTTTTCTCTCCAATTCATCATCATCATCATCATCAACAGCCTTTAATAGTCCACTGCTGGACATTGGCCTCTCGTTAGGAAGGAGGTTTTGGCCTAGTATACCACGCTGGCCAGACGGGTTGGTATAGGGTTTCTCTCCAATTACGTTGTTTTTTTTTATTAAAATATGTAATATTTTTCGTTCACCGGCTCACCGGCTACTAGACTCACGGGCCCGTCATATAATTCCGTTAATCGATTATGGTGATGGCTTTTATTTTGACCTGAATGCAGACCTTCTTAATACGCTAGACCGACTTCTCAATAACTGCATTCGCATTTGTTTTTAATCTTCGCAAGTATGAACATGTGTCTGTTTTACGTTCCCAACTGAAATGGCTCCAAATTCGTCATTGCACGCAGACTGCGGCGTCCTTTTTCATTTTTATATCGTTATCGAATATCAGTTCCCCACTTCCGTTTACTATCCTATATAATCACAACTAAAATCTTCGATCAACAAATAATATGCTTCTGGTTTGTCCCCTCACACTTCAAATTTCATCAATTCTTCCTTCTATTTACAGTCAGTTCTTCTCTGGAATGCACTGCCAGATGAAATCAGGATGTCCACTAACCGTTTAGGGGATCGACTGGGGGAGAATGCCCTTAGCATGTGCATTAAGTTATTATAAATAATTAAATAATTAAATTATGAATTGTTATTTGAAATTGACAATAAAACAATGCTTTGTAATTCACAATTTAATTGAAATATAGTATTCACACTAATAGCATAGATGAAATAAATAGTAACAAATAAATAATAAATTAAATCAATTGAAAATCAAAATGGTGACGAAACATAAAAAACTGACTTTACACGATGTGAGATACAGTTGTGCAGAATGTTAGAAAGAATAAACACTGAAATACAATAATGATATAAGCTACTGGTGATATATCCCGACTGCCATTCCTCTCAATGAAGTGGTCCTCATAGATCTTCGTCCAAAGAGCCAAACGATTCGGGTGGAGACCCTTCTGCATTTTTATATCGGTGTCGATCAGGAGCCATTCTTCTTCGAGCTCTTTTACCTTTTCTAGCTTGTTCCATGTAACAGCATCCGTTGATGGCGATCTGAAAGATATGAGTATGTTCTTTATATTTAAAGAGTATATAAACCCAGTGCATCATGTGCACAGTTATAACAGAAGGAAGCTGAAAGCCAAATATCAGCCTTCATCCTTTTAAAGACAAGGAAGACACTAAGGCGCTGCCCGCATAGCGATATTTCAACGCCGGGTTTTTATTTTTGCTTATTATATTTTGCGATCGGAAATACACCTAATACGCACTACGAATAGCCATATGGGCTATAGCCATGTCTACTTAATACTGCACGAAACATTCGCGCGGCAATAAATCGACAACAAATCGCGTTCAATTCGAGGAGAGAATAGTTTGGCCAGACGGCCAGTTATCGCAATAAAAGTTCGGTCTCAATTCAGTTTCGATCAACTTTCGATTTTACTTGTCATAAAAGGTATTTTCTGTATTTTTTTGTTTTTTTTTCGATTTGAAAAGTTCCGACATATATCGAAACAACAATTTTAATCATTGAATGAAGAAAATATTCTAAGGCTTGCAGGTAGCAAGTGCTAGGCTGTTTAAGTACTTGCACAATTAAGCATGGTGTACTCTATAATACTTATTGTTTCAACAAAATAAAACGTACATACGTAAATCCTTACCCAGAATTCAAAAAATTTGTCAACATTTCAGTCAAATTTCCTACTATATTGCATTCAGCAATAAGTTCTTCTTTACACGGAACCCCATCTTGGGTGAATAGGTATCCTATAATGTCTCCTCTCACGGCGCCTCCGACTGGATTACCAATCGAATCTAGCACTCTGTTTAATTGTCCAGCAAATGCGAATTCGTAAAAAAATACAGTTGCACCTGCTGCTACCAGACGTCTAGCAGTACGGATCGATGGGCCTAAGTATCTGATATCTGTAAAGCAAAGTGATAGATTGTGCTGGTCGCTTAACTGGATAATTTCTTCACCGAAATATTGCATTTTAACCCTCTGTCCTGTTTCTTGTTTTAAGGATGAAGAAGAAAATTGTAAATCGTTTGGTAGCAAATGTGTGGAGTCTTCGTTAAGTTTCGCTATACTACTGTCTGTCTGATATATTGCCTGATGAGCACCGGCAAACATCGTAGAACCGATTAGAAATGAAATGTCAATCTTGTTATTCGATAATGTGGCGTACGGAGTTGTTGTCATAAATGAGTTTTCGTCCACGGTTTCTACACAAGGCCTAAATTCTATATCCTTGGCAGCTGTCAAAATTGTACTCATATTAAGATTCTCTAGTGACAAATTTTCTGCTGATACATTATTGATTTCGGTTAATCGTTCCAAGAAGTTCGCAGCTGTTGTAGTTGGATCCCTGTCCAAGGCCCAATAGGCAAGCAAGGAACCGCTTTCTGTGATAACTTTCTTTACGTTTTCCTTAGACATCGGGTACAAAGCCAGTAATCCAGCTAACGCCCCAGATTGCCCTTCACCACTCACAGCTATGTTATTGGGATCCCCACCAAAAGCTTTAATATTATCACGAGTCCAGTTTAACGCCAAGCTCAAATCTTTTAAAGCCATATTTCCAGGCGCTGTTTCATTTTGCATACAAAGGAATCCAAGAGGACCGAGTCTATAATTCGGCAGGACTAAAATGATTTCTTTAGTAACTAGATAATCTGGCCCGTATATGGACGGATCGCCGCTTCCAGAATCAAAATTTTCGGCGTGAATGTGAAACAGAACACTGGCGTTCTCAGCGTTCAGTGGTTTAAATATGCTTAAAGTGAGGCAGTCCGTATCGCCAACGTATTCTTCGTTTTCTAGTTGTGGACAACGTTTTTCGTGTTCTTGCACTTCATGAATATTTTGCCATTTCTCTGCTGCGATTGCTGACTAAAACAGGGGATTTCTATTAAACGTCGTCTTATATTATTAAAGTCAAAGTATTTTTATTCCAACTAAACCTTTTTTACTATTTAAAATTTTCTCTTACGTGATAACTCACGGACTTATGATGAGTCATTAGTCAACACACAGTATAGCAACAATCTGTTTTTGTCAAAACTTATAAAACAATATCGAGACTACATACCTGAAATGGATGATTAAAAGTCCCATATGGAATATCGTAGTAGCCGATTATATTTTCATTCTCCTGCCATTGGAAACCCTGAACTAATCCAGAATTAGTTGGTACGGTCAAGTTGTCACTAATATTATCAGGATCACGTTCAGGCTCTTTGCTCACAGTAGATTCTGTTGTGCTGTCTGATTCTCTATCAGTACTGTCAGTACCATCAGTACTCATAGTACTCGTAATATCAGAAACTAGATCATTGTCATCAGTTGAGGTCTCGTCGTCAGGTGATTTCATGATATTTGCAAAGGTAGCTGCTATCAGCATTGCTGCTAGCCATAAACTTTTCTGCCACCACATTGTTTAGATTTTTAATTGATTTATAGGCATACCTGGAATTAAATAATATATTTTATTAATGACACATTATTTATTTAGTCAAGCTAGATTCCTCCTGAAGAAAGCATTTGTTGCTAAAATTTGTTGATTTATAGATAACGAAGTTTATGACATTCGAAAGTTTTGGAAATTATATGCCAAGTGTATAATTCATTTATTTTCCTAAGTGACCTTTGCTGCCACAATTATTAAAATCAGGTGGTCAAAAACAGACAGATTTTGAAACAGATGTCGCAAACCTTATTCCCTCTAGCTCGAACAAAATATATCATTATGCTTTACAATGCGGTCTGTTAATAATTGGAGTGAAACTAAGAGACGAATCCAATTCCAGTAGAAATCTACATTCGCATATAACTTTTGGCACTTGAAGCTAAAATTAAGTTTAATCTGTACCTTCTATCTGATCCAAGTGTGATTTTCACACGTGCGAAGGAGCGATACCTTCACACCGGTCACGTACTACCATTTAATATTGCCGCTAACACAATTAGTATCAACAGTTTTAAGATGTACTCACCGTATCGCGACTTGTGGTATTATCACCAAAAAGCAGCCTACGCAATGGTTGGCCCGAACTAAATGTGGGATCCCATCGATCTCACAACGAACAATGTATGTACAGACGAGTACACAACAACTTACCAAAATATTGCTGGTCGATAAATTGTTTAGAGTAAGTCACATCTGAGGTACAAGAGATAGTGTTGGCGTGACGGACGCGAATTACTGCAAATTAAATTAACCGGACGAGATGGTTAAACCGAGTGAATTAGATTTGGGCATTTAGCGCTGGTTTCTCTCAACATTTTTGGAACGAAGTCCCTTATCGTGCGTTACACGCTCTGAGCTGAAGGGAGCGAGACCGAAAAATGTGTAACAAGACTTTTTTCCGACATTCTTGCTATACTTCGTTCTGACCTGGGACCATAGACCCTCTCGCTGTTTTTTTTTATACTCATCACTTATTGGTCGTATCGTGATTTTATATAGCCTCCATCGATAAATGGGCTATTAAATACTAAAACATTTTGAATTCGAACTAGTTGTTCCTGAAATAAGCGCCCTCAACCAAAGAAACAAACAAACTCTTCAGGTTTACAATGGTATAAGAGGGCCAACGTGCAGACGGCTCACCTGATAGTTAGTGATAAAGGAAAACTTGACACAAACCCTATACCAACCCGTCTGGCTAGCGTGGTATAGTAGGCCAAAACCTCCTTTCTAAGGAGAGGCCTATGTTCAGTAGTGAACTATTAAAGGCTGTTGGTGATGATGATGTACCTTATTCAGTCTGTAAAAGCAACGAAAGAATTTCTTATTGCTTAATATCGTGAAACAGTTATATTACCCACAGTATGTGCGTATGTGCAGAAGCATTGGCTTTCAGAGGGCCGAGTGTGAGTTTATTTCACATCGACTCGCTTTTGCGCGAGCGCGTTTAGCGTTGTGATTGATGGAGATTTCAGTGCTGACCAATCGTAGCGCCGAACGCGGTCAACGTAACGATCGAGTAGAGGTAAAATAAACTCGCACTTGGCTCTCTGAAAGCCAATGCTTCTGCACATATGCACCTACTGTGGGTAATCTAACTGTTTCACGATATTAAGCAATAAGCAATTCTTTCGTTGCTTTTACAGACTGAATGAAGTACATCATCAGTACTCATAATAATTAATTACCATACCGTAAATACGTATAGATAAATATGCCTATATTATGCTCGCTCTGAGATCTTTGCACAGGTAATGTAGTTATCCTTGATGGATGTATTCCGTCATCACCTGTACCAAGCTCACTTGGCTTATCACAATGTAATATTATCAAACGCTATCGCCCACTCGCTGATAACAAAAGCTCTGCTCGATATTTTCGTCAAATGAATTCCCAAATATTTTATTACTTACCCACATACTCTCACTTACTTACATGAATGTTCCCAAAAAGGTAGACGGAACTGCACTAAGCGCCCATATTTTGCCGAATATAGTTTTAGTGCCACTCACATAACTATTGTTGTTAATCAGTGTCTGGTTTAGATCAAGGATCACCAAGTAGTTTAAATGAGAGTCTTGGACGGAAGGCGAATATTCATTTATCGCCATCCGTTTAATAAATGATGATTTGTACTCGATAGGATTTGTAATAGTTAAATGAAAATAATTCTGAATATTTTATCCTACACCTAATGAAAAAATAACAAAATTTCATTTTTCTACCTTAAACTAACTGTCTGAAGTCTGGTGTTTCGTTGGTCCAAGCTATTGCCGTTAAATCTTGGAAATATTAAATTCTGGCGATATTTATATTGACATTCTAAGATCCTTTTGGTTTCGCATAAAATAAGTCGACGATCCGGCACGGACCGCGGTTCGCCATTTGGTGACTCCTGCTTTATGTGTTGAAATTACGAATCAGATGGGAAAATTAAAAGCTTAATATCAAAGATAAAGTAGATGAAAAGGAATTACGATAACAGGTAAGGCAATATGTTTATACGGATGGAATAGGGAATGTCCCTAAGCAATAGCTTGCAAACTCGACCTGGCAATTGCCGGAGAGTCCACTTGCGGATAATGTAACTTTCAATTGGTGAAAGAACTTTTTAAATCGGTTTTGTGGTTTAAGGGTGATAGCGTAACAAACAAACGAAGGCACTTTCACATTTAAAATATAGGTATGAACTGTCACATAACCATGAAGTAAAATAGTAAATGTATATAAATACTAGACGGTATATTGCTCATTCGTCACGATGTCGCTTGTAACGGTTGTTGAACATAAATTATTGCAATATATCCTCATGATCGATGATGGAGATAAAAGCGATCATCGACGTTTTAAGATTCCATAATTATTTAGAAAAAAGTTTGGTATTTAAGCCAGTCAGCGTGTGACCACCGCCAGTGCCACCTGTCGAGCAATTCAAAGGTACGTAATACCCACGTGATCGCGTTAATTGTATATGACGCGAAAGTTAAATAAAAGAACCTGTTCGTATAAGTTTTTTTTTTGCTTTATTAAAACCATTGATAATAATAATAACTACACACCTCACACACGGTCGCCTGATCCCAAACTAGGTAGAGCCTGTATAATGGTAACCAGACTGCTGATAAACATACTTATATATTTTCAAATACATAAATTTTATAAATACACCCATATATAAATTACACCCAGACACATAACAAAAAAACCGATCAAGTACGAGTCGAAGTCGTGCGCCGAGGGTTCCGTACCTACCCAGATTTTACGTAGATTTTCGCGAAAATTTGTACGTACCAAAATGTCTTAATCTTAATTTTCAACTTTTTTTATTTTTTGGAATTATTCCTTTATTTGTGCTGTAAGACGTTTCTTTTTGCCAAATTTCGTGATTCTATGTCAACGGGAACTACCATATAGGTTTGCGACACAAAACCCAAAGGGTTTGTATTGCTTTAATATTTTTTCCTGGAAAATCGTTCACGAAATTGAAAGCGGAATAGCCTTTTTTTTTTTTACAAAAAAAAAATTCCCAACTTTAAAAAAACAATTCCCGCAAAGTAAAAATGCTGTTTGAAAAAATATTATCGGAGTGTAAATTTCATAGCCCAATACCAAATTTTTTATATGTATAAAAAAAGTTTTATGAAATAGGGTCAAAGGGGTATTTTCAAAAGAGGGCGTCCCCCCCCCCCCCAAAAAAAAAAGTATCAAAAAATTGGGGAATTAACATTTTTATGTGAAATTGGGGTTCCCACTATTTCGGGATTGGGATAATATCTATTTAGTAGGTCCTTTGTGGGGAGGTTTGGGGGAAAAAGGAGTTTCACTACCCCTTTTTCCCGTGGATGTCGTAAGAGCTGACTAAGGGGGAAAACCTCCCAAAGAACAACAGCCAGAAAAAAAGGGGAAAAAAATTGAAAAAAAAACCATATCCCAAACCCCGTCGGGCCCAGCGTGTTTAGAGGCTAAAAACCCCCTTTTGAGGAGAAGCCTATGTTAGCGTGGACTATCATAGCGTTGATGTGTGTTGATGTGTGATTACTTTTTACCAATTTTTTTAAATGTACTAGCAATTTAAAAAAAGGTTTTACAGCCACCAAAATTTCCCCCGGCCCTAGTATTTCCCCCAACCCCCCCCCCCCCCCCCCCCCCCCCCCCTCCCCCGCTAAGTTTAAAATTGTTGGGGTTTTAGAAAAATATGAGTGGGGTTAAAACGTCGTAGTGTACTGGTCGGGGATTCAAAACTTCCCCGACCTTTTTTAAGTAATAGTTAGTAAGTAAGTAATTTTTATTGAAGATATAGGTCTTTTAATTTTAATTTTGATATATTTATCGGTTTTTAGTCCGGCTATGTCCGCCCATTGGGCTTTAAAATAGAAAAAATTATTTATTTATAGAAACCAAACAGCAATGAAAAAAAAATTTTGTTAATTCAAAATAGACAATTTTAAAACAGAAATTTGGGCAAAACGGGCAAAAATAATGTAGACTAAAAATATAAGAGTAGGGAAAAAACTGAAAAAAATTAGGGCCCGGGGGATTGTGAAAATGGAGAGGGGAAAACCTGGGGGTCATGAAATTTTTGGGGCCTTTAATAATAACATTTTTTTAGCAAAAAAAACCCCCTGTAGTTTCTTTTAAACATGGTAATTTTTTTAAACCCTTTCCCTTGATGTCTTTTGGAATTTTGGGTATTTTCGCGAAGCTGTACAGAATATCCCCTTCAGCATCAGATTTTCTTGCTAGAAAGCTATGTACTCTTGATGCAGTTCAATGAAAAACCCACTGGCTTCCGGTTTTAAATTTAACGGTTAGTGATTTTTTTTTAAATTTTTTTTCCCCAATTCAATCATCTTTTCATCATCAAACACCCCTTAATAGCCCAAACCCCTGGACATTGGCCTCTCGTTAGGAAGGGGGTTTTTGGCCTAGTATACCACGCGGGCCAGAGGGGTTTGGGTATGGGGTTTTTCTCTCCAATTACGTTTTTTTTTTTTATTAAAAATTGTAATATTTTTTCTTTCACCGGCCCCACCGGCTATAGACTCAGGGGCCCGTCATAAAATTTTCCGTTAATCGATTATGGGGGATGGCTTTTTTTTTAAACCTGAAGCAGCCCTTTCTTAAACGCTAGCCCCGACTTCTAATAACTGCATTCGCATTTGTTTTAATCTTCGAAAGTATAAAACATGGTCTTTTTTACGTTCCCCAACTGAAAGGGCCCCAAAATTCGTCATTCCCACGCGACGCGGCGCCCTTTTTTCTTTTTTATATCTTTATCGAATATCATTTCCCCATTTCCTTTTACTATCCTAAAATCCAAACAAAAAAATCTTCGACAACAAAAAATATGCTTCGGGTTTTTGTCCCTCACACTTCAAATTTCATCAATTCTCCTTCTTTTTTTACAGTCAGTTTTTCCTCGGGAATTTCCCACTCCCAAGATAAAACAGGATTTTCCACAAACCCGGTTTGGGGGTCCCCCGGGGGGGGAGAATCCCCTTAGCATGGCTTTAAAGGGTTATTATAAAAAATTTAAAAATTAATTAAATTAGGAATTTTTAAATTTGAAATTGACAAAAACAATGTTTTTTGAAATTCACAATTTAAATTGAAATATAGTATTCCCCCAAAAAATAGCATAGATGAAAATAAATAGTAACA